CCCTCTGCACGCAGATCACGGGGCACTCCGCGCCCTGACCCCCCTTCCCCGCCCTTGGCGCCGGGGCCTCTCACCGCCCTTGGGGTCTCGGCCCTCTGCATCCCTCATCCCCAACCGGCTCCCCTACCCCTAATCCGTGCGCCTGTCCTCAGCCGTGCGCACTACCCCCAACCCCTTGCCCTGTCTGTTTCTTCCTCACGCCCAGCCAGGCGCTCGGCGCCGCCGGCCTCTGCACTTTCCCCTCCACCCGACCCCTGCGCGGCGCCTCCGCGCTCCAGCCCTCGGTGGGTGCCCTGCCACCCAGCGATCTCGCGCCGACTCGCGTGCGCGGTGACCCTGTGGCCGCCTGGCTCTGTCTCCGCCCGCGCGGCCACCTCGCGCAGGTCACGTCCTGTCCTGGGCCTGGCCTGGCCCCTCCTGCTCCCAGTTCTGAAAGCCCTCGGGCCTTAGGCCCAGACAAGGTACCTGGAAAGGAGTGGGGACTGATGGGCCGGCCCCTCCTGCGGCGGAGGCGGGGCAAGGCTGTGGGCCAAGAGGTGGAGGTGGGGGGGGGGGGCGTGGCACGGCAGGACCTGGAGCAGGACTGGGCTTAGACTGCACGCGGAAGAAGAGGTCTGAGTGTCGCCGGCCTTACAACTACCCATTTTAAGTGGAATATTCAACTGGAGCCCTGGACTCATGTCAGCCCTGCGAAAAGAACGACCATAGATGGATGCTCCTTAAGTCAAGGGCAGGCAACCTAGGCCGTGGACCTCTGGGAGAGGATGGTGACCCCCTGGCGCTCCTCTGTCAGGGTCTGCTTGTCTCACCTAAGGAGTTTTGAGCTCAGAAAGGAACTCGGCCTTCTGAGACCCTCTGGCTGCTCTCACAAGGCTAGACTCTGTTGGCTTCTGCTTGGCACTTTGCCCAAACTCATCTCAGCCTATGAGGACGTTGGTGACAAGGTCCCTGAGAACCTGTGTCGGCAAAGGGCCAGGTGGAGTGACCTGGCTGAAAATGTGCCACTGGAGAGAGTCCCCCAGGAGGGGCGGATAGACTGCCTCCTTCTGCACTTGCGTGTCTGCCTTAGGGCTGGGGCTCTCTTGGTGAAATTCTTTCCCCTCCTTCTACTCTACCCCCTCACTTACCTGGCTCCCAGTGTCTCCAGCCTCTGGCTCTACCTGCTTTTGAAAGCCACTGAGACCTCAGGCCCAACGTACATCAAACTGGGCCAATGGGCCAGCACCCGGCGAGATCTCTTCTCGGAGGCTTTCTGTGCCCAGTTCTCCAAGCTGCATGTCCAGGTGACTCCCCATTCTTGGACTCACACTGAACACTTCCTACGGGACGCATTTGGGGAGGACTGGGGGCAGGTCCTCTGCTTTGAGAAGCAGGAACCTGTGGGCTCAGGCTGTGTGGCCCAAGTGTACAAAGCACGTGCCAATCCTGCCTTCCTGGAGAATGACAGCATCCAGAGACTTGCCAAGACCTCCAGCCTGCAGCCTTCTTCGGAAGCTGGGGCAGTCCGGGGACTGAGAGAGCATCTTGGACATCTGGGGAAGGTGTGGGGGCCTCAAGGAAGTCTTGCTGACCAGTCATTTCTAGAAAGGCTGCTCTTCCCTAAAGCTGACCTGGTTGGATCGAATGCAGTCTTGTCCCAGGCTTCGGGGCCCACCCACGGACCCGAGTCAGATCACCTCATCCCAGTGGCGGTGAAAGTAAGTGCTCTGATGTTTTCAGCCAGGCCCTTCCCATCTTTAAAATCTCACTGACTCCACAGAGCTGCCTAGATTAGGAGCCCCGCCCTGCCTTTGCAAATCACCCCACATTGCCTTCCATTGATTTCTATTAGCTTGACCATTATCTGAGTGCCTGTGGTGTGCAAGTTGTTTGATTTCTTGGCTGGAGGGAGAGGTGGTGCGAATGGTTTGAAAAAGGAAAAGGAAGAAGGCTTGGAGTTTACTGCCTCTGAGGGTGGAGGACCCACCATCCATCTGACCTCCTACTCAGGGGTCAGGATAAATCCGAGACAGACTAGGTTAGGTGTGCTGGGGCGAGCCCAAGAGGGCGGAGTTCATTTTACAGAAGTGGCTCCCTTCGCTCTTCATTTCCGGTCACCCCTTCCTGGGCTCCATCAGAACTCTCAGACACAAGAGGCAAACACCCCAGAGCTCTCTTACCTGTTGGGGGTAAAAACCCTCCCCAGGGCGACTCACTTCAGACCTACTGAATCATCTTTCCAAGGGAGGAGCCTGGGCCTGGCTTTTTATAAATGCTGCAAGGGATTCACATGATCAGGCATGTTTGAGAAACACTGAACCAAAAAGGAGTGGATGCCTGCTGTATACCAGGAAATGGGCCTGTCATGCCAGATGCAACATTTAATCTTTATTAGATGCCTGAAGTAGGCATCTGTTTTTCTTACACTTCATTCTCCAGTTTATTGCTAAAAGGATTTGAGGTGGAGGTAGGGGCTATTGTCTGCATGTTTTAAACAGGAGGCTGACAGAGGTGGTGCAGCTTGGCCAGTTTCCTGTAGGAAACGACTTACAGAACTGGAGCTTGAAACCAGACCTCTCCATCCCACCTCGGGAGTTCTGTGCCTCTAGAGCAGTATTTTCCAGGCTTTAGACTACCTGACTCAGCTACCTGACGTACTCGGTCAAATGCAGATTCCCAGCCCCGCTCCCAGCCAGTCTGATTCAGCCGGTCTTGGAGGAGGCCTGGGAGTCCTCATTTTCACCAAGCAACCCACGGTGACTTCTATGCTTGCTGATCAGTGGCTTGGGAGCCACTGATCTAAACTTAACGTATTTGGAAGGAAAAGCCCACCTATTCTTCCCAGAGAAGCTGAGTGCAGTGCAGGGGCACTGCCTTCACATCTCCTCAGGGGAGGCAGGAGTATCCTGGGTGTTGGGACCGCTTGCCCTTTGCTTGATGAGAAGCTGGCTGACTCTCCACTGACAGGGGGACCCAGCTCTGCTGGGTGAGTGTGCCCTCCTGGCTGAGCCATCCCCTGTCTCGCTGTTCCTCTTCTCGGCAGGTGTTGCATCCTGGCCTGCTTGCTCAGGTGCAGATGGACCTGCTGCTGATGAAGATGGGCAGCCGGGTCCTTGCCCTTTTGCCAGGAGTCAAGTGGCTCAGTTTACCTGAGATTGTGGAGGAATTTGAGAAGCTCATGGTCCAACAGGTGAATTCTCCTTCCCTCTGTTGTAAATAGTACACAGCTTTTTGCCATTAGCAGTTGCTTAGCAAATGCTGAGTGGACGAGTATTTTCCCAGTGTGTCATGGCTAATATAGTGTGTTAGTCAGGGTAGGTAAGGCTACCGGATAGAACAAAGAACATCTAAATCCTCGTGACTTAATCTAACAGGGTTATTTCTTGCTTACATGAAAGTTCCACGCAGGTGAACTGAGGGAGAGAGTGGGAGCTTCACTCCATAGTTATTCAGGGACCCGATTTCCTCCCAAGTTTGTCATCTGGGGTCAGTGTGGAATGGGGAGAAAGACCAGGGAGGGTCATGTAAGAGATTCTGTGGCCAGTCTGGGAAGTGATGAACATCCCTTCTTTCCAGTCTACAAAGTCAGAGCTTTAATTACAAGCACCCAGTGTGACTACAAGGGAGCTTGGGGAATGCAGTCTTCCTTAGTGCCTGAGGAAAAGGAAATGAGTCTGGTGGAACATGTAGTATTATCTGTGCCCCAGTCAATGGATGAATTCTCCTGGAGGAGAAGAATGATTAGCAAAGTCACACACTGTGCCTTTCTTTTGCTTTGATTCCAGGGCTGAATGCATAGACAAGGACCTCCGCCATGTCTGGGACCCCTGAGACACTTGTCTGAGTAGCCAGACTTGGTAAACCCGCTGGAGGCGGTCAGGGCTCCAAGCAGGCGTCTGTGCTGGCTTCCTGTCGGGTGGCACAGAATTGGCAAGCTTTCAGAAGCAATGTGCCAAGTCTTCATTTAGGTCGTCTGATTTAGGGTTTTAAGTCCCAGGGATGCGTTTTGATGTTGAGAAAGCTTTGCTTTATGCTATGGAGTTGTATAGTTTCAATAATGAAAGAAAATTAAAACAGAGAAAAATAGCTTCTATTCCAATACCCATCTTGGCATTAATTACTCTCAGTTCTGCCACCCACCTGAGCTTTGGTTCCCCTTCTAGAAGTCTGATAGACATCGTGCGATCCCATCACTTCAAGCTCAAGTCTCTCTATCTCACCCAATTTTGCCTCAAAAATGAACTCTTCCTACCAGCTGGAGGTCTCATAGTCCCATCATGTTCTCAGGCTTGAAACCTTAGAGTCTGAGTGTGTGTTGGGGGGTGTATGTTCATTTACAAATGCATATGACATTTATTAAGAACTCTACTAGAAGTTGGTGAGAAAGCAAGTGAGATTTTTCTGGTCCTCGAGGAATATATAGCAGGAGGAGGAGGGCTGACATTAAATACTTGCAGAAAAAGTGTGATCAGAGTTACAACAGGAGACTCCACAGTTTCAGTTGGGTTCAGTTGGGGCTCAAGAGAGGAAGTGGTCATTCCACCCTGAGGGTCAAGACTCCCTGGGCTTGAGCTGAGTCCTGAAAGGGGAGTGTTTGCAGTTGTATGAAATGGGGGAAGAACATTCCAGTCATGCGGAGTAAAGAAGGGAAATGAGAGGGAGAGGTGACCAGCAGGCTGAGATGTCCAGCACTCTGCTGGTTGGGTGAAGGCAGAGTTTTGGGCAGTGGAGGAAGGAGGAAGCATCACAAGAGATGGACCTGGAGAGAGGAGCAGGGCCAAACCATGACCCACCTTGGCTGTCATCCTAATGGGCAAAGACTCCATCCTGCAGGTAGTAGGCGAGGCCCGGTAGATGGACTGGAGAGCAGGAAGATAGGGGACAGGGAGCCCAACTAAGACAGCTCTGTTAGGGTTCAGGTGACTGGTTTCGAGTCACTTTAGGAAGAACAGTGGGATGGAAAAGGGGCACAGATCTGAGCTGTTAGGGCTGCAGAGTTGATGGCGCTGAGTCTCCCGTGGGTGTGGAGGGAAGGGGAGAAGGAGTAATCTGCAGCGACTCGCAGGGGAATGGAAGGGGGCGAAGGTACATTCATTTAGACATCGAGTTTAAGAGTCTCTGGGCTTCCCCAGGGCGACATCCAGATGTACTTGATATCTAAGTCTGGAGACTGGGAGAGGGGTGTGGACAGGAGATCAGGTTCTGGCATCAGGAGGTGCTACTGAGGACACGAGAGGTGGGGAAAGGTAGCTGGTGAAGGTGTGGAGCTGAGTGTGGAGCAGCATCCGGGGGCACACGGAGGAGGAAGGGCAGGGGACCAGACCGAGGAGGAACGGTTGGAGAGGTGGCAGAAGGACCGGGGAGAGTGAAAAGCAGGCGCCAAGGGAAGATCTGTTTGGGAAGAATGGGGTCACCAACAGCACCAGTCCCGGGGCCCAGAGAGCTAACAAGGATAAAAACAGGACTGGGCTGCTGGGGAGTTCAGGGAGAGCGGCGTCAGTGTAGCTGAGTGATGGACATGGACCTCACCAGAGGCACAGAGCGGGAGGGCAGGCTGGTGGAGGGAGGGGGGCCGCAGGGAGGTGGAGGGAGGCAACCAAGCTAAACCCCTGAGAGATGGGGAAGGGGTCCATCAGCCAGTGTGAAGGAGTGAGGGGCAGCAAAAGAATAATGGAGGAGCAGTGAAGCCCAGTTCACGCTGGGGGTCGGGACTTCTGGGACAGTCCTCAGCCACAGAATGCCTTCCCCTCCCTCTGAGTTTCCTGGTAGTTTTGCAGGAGAAGTAGGGGGAAGGCAGGTGGATCTTGTGGCTTGCTAGCTCTTGGGGGCTTCAGATTTGCTGTCCCTGGGCCCAGGCTACCCTCTCCCTCATCTCTTCTCTCCATTTCCCTGTAGATCGACCTGCGTTACGAAGCTCGGAATCTAGAACACTTCCAGTGCAACTTCCTAAATGTGAATTCTGTCAAATTCCCCACCCCTCTGCGTCCCTTTGTCACCAGGGATGTCTTGGTGGAAACATATGAAGTAAGAGTAAGAGCTTCCCTGGCCGTGCCTTTTACTCACAGCCAGGCCGTCTCCGCTCCGCAGGAAGGCTCGAGTCTGCAAAGACAAAAGCCAAGAGAGCATGTGATTACTGTCTGTAAAATGGAGAGGAGTTTGGATGCGGCGTGAGGGTGAAAGGTAGTGTAGTGAGTTGGCTGAGAGCCTGGGCCCGGCCTCAGACTATCTGGATTTGATCATCTCCTCTGCCCTTGCATTTGCTGGGTGACCTCAGTTCCCTCCTATATAACAGTGGCAACCATTCCTGCCTCTTAGGGATGTCCCAGGGGTCAATGACACATGGAATGCAGAATGCCCTCCGCAGGGTGTGCCCAGAGAAATTGCTCAACAGTATTTCTGTCCTGGCCTTAGCTGTCTCCTGCTCCAGCCTCCTTTGTAGAGATAATGAGATCCAGAGGAGTGACCTGAATGACTCACTGTTACTAGCTGTGTGACCTTGAGCAAGTTACTTAAACTCTCTGGGCTTTAGTTCTTTTATTTTCTCATTAGGGATAACAAGAGCTATCTCAATAGGCTGCTTTGACAATTAAATAACTAACCTAGAGGAAATGCTTGACTTCTTCCCCTTTCTTCTCTCTTCCTTTTCTTTTTCCTCTCCATTTTCCTGCTGAGGGTCACAGACCTCATTCATGTTCCTCTTGGCAGATTCTTGACCAGAAATAAGCTCTCCCTGACATGATAGCATCTTTTCCTTGTGGGTGGCCGTCAATAGGTTTCCTCCCTAATAAACCTATGGGATTTGTTTTCTTTTGAGAAGTACTGTAGAAGGGGAATGTCAGTGAGTTAAAGTTAACTTATGGGTGACAGATTCATAGGGGTGGTAAGAAAGGAAAACCTCATTGGGTCACTTCCCAGTCAGCAGGCAGGTAGCGCTGATGTGTCCTGCGGGGCTGAGGGGCCGGGCAGTCGTGGGCTGTGCAGGGTAAAGCTGTCCTTTCTCTGATCTTCCTCAAAGGAGAGTGTGCCTGTGTCCAGTTACCAGCAAGCAGGGATTCCCATCGACGTGAAGAGGAAGATAGCGCAGCTGGGGATCAACATGCTCCTGAAGATGGTGAGCTCATGCCCAGGGGAGGGTGCTCAGCCCAGCCTGCGGGGGAACTGTGTGCGCAGAGAGGGCGGGGATGCTGTGCAGCTAGGCAGCTGCTGCCGGGTCAAGAGGGTCATCTCTAGAGATAGCCGAGCTGACCCGCATGTCCATCCTTCTACAGCTGTTGAGCACTTTCTCAGTGCCAGGCGCTCTGTCACTGAGCGAGGTGCCTTGGGAAGAGTGGGGAAGGAGCCACATGTGTGGTCAGAGAGTGGGAGGGAAGAAACGAGGTAACTGAGGTGGATCTGTGAGGGCTGAGGCAGGTGGCAAACGTGGGGCAGAGGTGAGAACGGGTCCTCCAAGCAGGATGGTGGTGTGGTGCAAGCACACAGCACGGGAGGCTGTAAGCACGGGGGTGCTCGGGCAGAGGAGCCCAGGGTGAGGAAGGAGTGGTGGCTGAGCAGCCCTGACTTCACCTCCAGCCCTGGGGCCCATGGGTGTTGAGGGTCAGCAGCCCCCATCCAAGGGGCTCCTAGAGAAGTGGGATTGTTTTGGGAGAGCTGGGTTTCCACTGTCAGTGCAGTGGAAGCTCAGTGGGGAGAGGACTTTGCCCCAGTAGAGAGGGCTCTGAGGGGCACTGTGGGGAGGGTACAGGGGGGAGTAGCCAGGGGAGAAGCAGCCCCGAGGAGTAGGGAGATCATGGGGGGCTTCAGCTTGTGGGCTCAAGGATGGGAAAAACCAGGGGCTCAGCTGACAGCCAGGTTGCCAGGAGGTTCTGTCCCAGGGTCAGGGGTCAGCCAGCCTTTGGTGACCATGTCCTGCAGGTGTACAGGCCTGGTTTCCTCAGTTCCCAGGATTTTCATTAAGGTAACAGCCTCCCTCACCTCCAGCAGAACCAAGATAGGGACGAGGAAGGTCTCCCTGTGATATGCTGCCATGTTAGCCACGAGGGATGGGGTCTTTAGCCTGCATCCAGTAGCACGAGGGGCCCTGTGTCGGCCAGGAGGAGTCCCCCAAGCGCCTCTCCAAGCAGTGGCTGTTCCGTGCCTCTGCCCTGGGTCTCTCCTTCTCCGTATAGAAGGTTTGCTGGTGGTTTCTCTGACCACTGAGATCACCTTCACAGGAGGCAGATTCCTGTTTCAGAAAGTCCATCCCAATCCCTGGGGATTTCTTTCTTGTTTAGCAGGTTCAAAGCCATTTCTCCCAGGCTACCTGATTCCATGCGCCAGTATGGCTGTCAGAATCACAGTTAGACTTCAGTATGTGTACAGATGGAGATAATGGAGGCAAAGTCCAATTCTTACGAAATATTTTTAAAGAAAGGAAGTTCTATGAATTTTTAAGAACTGAGAGACTTGGGGAAAATCTTTAAACAATGAATAATTATTTTTAATTTGAATATTGTTCAAATCATAGAGTTAAAAATAAGTCTTGTTTTTTTGGGGGTAAATAGGTTTATTTACTTATTTGTCTTTTTTTAATTTTTAAATTTTATTTATTTGGGGGGAGATAATTAGGTTTGTTTGTTTGTTTATTTATTTATTTATTTATTTATTTATTTATTTATTTTTAGGGGAGGTATTAGGGATTGAACCCAGGACTTCGTGCATGCTAAGCATGTACTCTACCACTGAGCTATACCCTTTTCCCCCAAAATAAATCTTTTTAAAATGCAGTTTGGTCTTTGATTTTCATGTTCCCCTATGATCTTTTTTAATGCTCTTTACTTTGAAAATAACTTTTCTTTTGAAAACATCAACCCGGCATGTTCCTGTACAAATTCTGAACTGATGGTATCAAGCATCGAGGCTTTATAAAATGTACACCTCTCTGCCTTACAATCGATCACCGGGAACTCGCTGTCACCCTGGAAGCTTTTCTGTGTGTGGCCTGGTGGTGATGGGAGGGTGAGGCTGACTTAGCCTGGAATAGCACTGATCTCTTCCCAGATATTTGTGGACAATTTCGTCCATGCGGACCTTCACCCTGGGAACATCCTGGTCCAGGGCGCAGATGGTCTTCCCAACAGCCAGGAGGCACGGCTGCAGCAGGTGGACGTCTGTGACGCGCTGGCGGTGGCTGTGACACCTGCCCGGTGCCCGCTGCGCCTGGTTCTGCTGGACGCCGGCATCGTGGCCGAGCTGCGGGCTGCCGACCTGAGGAACTTCCGGGCTGTCTTCATGGCCGTGGCAATGGGGCAGGTAAGACCCACTAGGCCCTCGGGATCTGAGGCCGAATTTTTTTAGGCTCTTGCGAACCACAAGGCTCCTCAGCATTTGTCATTCTTGTAAATGCCTGCATTTGCCAAGGGTTCTCCTGATGGAAATGGGTGGAGCAGAGTGAGGGGGACAGAGAGAGGAGGAAGATGGGCAGAGGAAAGAAGCCACTTGAGGGCTAGTCAGAATGGGCTCGTTCCAAGCGGCTTGTGGTTTGGGACGATGGGAAGAAATGCCGCCTTTCCAGATGCTGTTGTGCTGGTGGTTTCTCTTCCTTCTTCAGTAAGTGTCTAGTCGGGCCCTGGGAACACTAGCTTCTTGCCTGAATGTCGGCCGCCCTGGTCTGGGCTGTTTGCTGCAGGAAGCTGGGGCTGGTGAGAAGCAGCGGCACAGGGAACTTGTTCTCCAGGTGCTAGAAGACATGCTGGGATCTGGGGCAGGGGCAGGGTGAGGGCATGAATGGTTTTAACCCTGCGCCCCGTGGCTCTGAGGGGCTCCAGTGGTTGAGAATTATTATGTAGCAAAAGGGGTTCAGCAAAGCCTCTACTGAGTCAACCTAAAGTGCCACATCAAGGATGACTGTGAATTCTCCAGCAAGAAAGACCCTGGGAAAGAGAGAGCATGGAGGGGAAGGCAAAATTCAGGGGAACCCCTGCTTAGGGGGCAAACCAGAGGCTTGAGCCAGAGTGAGTTTGAAAGTGTTCCCTGGGTCAAGGTTATACATCAAGATGCAGTAGGGGTAGGGGGAGGCGCTCCTCTGCACAGGTTTGGGCAAAGGAGGAAGGTCACAGCTGAGGAGGAAGAGCTTGGCTTCTGGGCCGTGCTGCGGGAGGTAAAAGGTGTTAGCGATGAGGGTGGGTGTTCCGGGAGACCGTAGTGGCTTTGATCAGGGGCATGGGGTGGAGGAGGAGCAGGAAGGCTGGGGCACAGATGCGGGGTCAGCTGTGAGCAGGGAATTCTGCTCAGGCAGAAAGACAGCCAACGAGGAGAGTCTAGCTTGGCGGCACAACCTGGTGGCTCGGGCCAGGCCGGTTGGTCAGCAGTGCCATGTGGAGTGTGAGCAGCAGGGCCCTGGCTTTGCCGCTGGGCCTGTGTGGTCTCGGAGGCAAAGCAGACAGTGCAGCTCCTTCCCCTGACTGTGCTAAGCCCGGGTAGGGCCCCACCGACCAAGAGAGGCTTCCAAAGACCCTGGTCAGTTATCAGGTATTTGGGGGTGGGGGGTGGGGATAGAGTTAAAAAAGCATGGGTGGCCAAAAGCAGGATGGTAGAAGAATTAGCATGGAAACAGCAGGATATGAAGAAGTTTGGGCAGAGCATCTAGTTTTATGCCCTCTTGACTCTGCTGAGTTTTTCCTTTGCATCTCCCAGGGCCAAAGAGTGGCGGAGCTCATCCTGCATCACGCCCGGGCCAGCGAGTGCAAGGACGTGGAGGGATTCAAGGCCGAGATGGCCAGGCTGGTGACCCAGGCCAGGAAGGATACCATCACCCTGGAAAAGGTGAGCTGGCCACTTGAGGGCCAGGGGCTTTGGGGTATTGACTGACCTTGCCCTTGGAGAGAGCAAACCCCAGGTCTCAGAAAGACCTCTTCATGGGGAGAGACTTGAGGTGGGTTGAGTTTTAAGGCAGATAAAGAAGATACCTTTTCCTCTGCCTCACAAATTTTCCAGGTGTGAGGAGGCCCACTGAGATCCCTGGTTCTCAAGAGTGGCTCCTTGACCAGGCTCTCCCAGGTGGCTGCTGGGCTGGTGACATTTGTAGTGGGGCAACCGCTCCCTGACTGGGGTGTAGATGTTCTGCTGCTTCATCTACATGGAGCTCGCTGAGCAAGGGGGGTGGAGTGGGGAGGGAGAACTGAGGCCCCTGAGCAGACAAAGGACATACCCAAAGTTCACATCCTTTATTTAGATCTGAACCAGAGCCCGCTTTGTATTCCACACACAGTTCTGACAAACCTGACTTTTCTTCCCAAGCTCATTCCCAAGTCCACAGTAGCAGGAGCAAGTCAGAACAAGAGGTGGCCCACGGGCAGTGAGGAGTGGCCGCCGGCCCCCTGGCACTGCTCATCTTATTTATTCAAACGTGATTTTTGTGGGTGCTGGGAGCACTGGGGGAGAAGCCTCAAGGATGATCCTTCTGAAGGGGGTCTTTGAACTCAGTCGTGAGATGGGAGATGGGCTACTGGGCATGCAGTCCTTTCTGGGATTTGTCAGGCAGTCCGTTTCCCACTCACTGGCGTGTGTGTGTGTCTGAGAGCGCATGTGGGACAGGGGCCTGCAAGGGAGAGAAGTGGGTCCGGGGACTCTGCCGTCATCTTTATTCTGTTTTCCAGCTTCAAGTTTCCAGCCTTCTTTCGAATGTCTTTAAGTTACTGATGACTCACAAGGTGAGGCCCCAGGCGGAGCAGAACGCTGTGCTCCAGGCAGGCTGGAGGGGAGGTGTCGGGGGAAGGCTGGTGGCTTGAGGGTGGTGACAGGTACTACTCTATAAGAGATCTCATTTTTGAAAACATTCTGCACACCGATCTGTTTGGTGAAGAGTGCAGTTTCTATTTCCTGATGGGTATGGCAGGGTCCTTCCTTGGTCACACTGTTAGTCTGTGTACCAGCAGTCTTTGCACTCTAAGTACCTGTGACACTTAACTGTAGAAAAATGTATTTGCAAATGTAAAAACAGTCCAACCCAGGCTCTTCATGCCTTTTCCCTCCTCGGTTCACATTAATGATGCTTGGTATTAGCGTAAGTCGTACTCAGATCTGTCCTGGGTGCCATGAAGCCCTGGGGTCACTGGCGGCCCAAGGGCAGGCACCTCCTATCTGGGTGTGTTCGGAGGCCCCAGAGGGGCTGTCTTGGCCTCTGCCTCCTGCCCCAGGCCCTTGGAGGGAGGTGGCCTCCAGGTTCTTCACCTTGGCCTTTGCCTTGGCTCTGTGTCCTTGTGATGGAATGTGGTGTTGGGCCACTTTTCAAAATAAAGCTGCTTAGCCAAGCGTATAAGGTGTTGAGGGTAGGGAAGGGAAGAGTCTCATATGAAGATGGCCTTTCCTCTCACCTCTCTTGAGGTTCTGCAATCTGATAAGGAAACACTACATGAAAAAGGCAGCCTTCTGGTAAGGATCATAACAGAATCAAGAGTCAGTAAGTTGTCTGGTCCAGGCCTTCCTCCCACAGAAGGTGCAAAAGGAGGCAGGGCGGTCCACTTGTCAGGTCAGGCCCGGGGGAAGCCGGGATGTGACATGTCACCAGGGCTCTCAGTCCAGTGCTCTTTCTTCTGCTTCAAAACTACTGCTTGGGTCAAAGCAGGCACACAGACTAAGGGACCCCCAAGCGTGCTGTGGACTCAGGACGGTAACAGGGCGATAGCTAGCACGTGTGGGAAGCTGCTGCCTGGGACCTCATTTAAATCTCAGGACAACCACTGGGGCAGGTCTGATCTCTGCTGTATCCTCCCCACAGGGAGACTGGGCACAGAAAGGCCAAGTCACTCCCTTAGTACCCCCGACTGTGCCTGAGGGAGCCCAGGTCTGCACCCCTGTCTCTCTGACTCCAGGGTTGGTTGTATTGGCAGGGTTTTTGGTGAAAAACTTTATGCTTTCCAAAGCTTTTCCCAAGTTCTATTTTTAAAAAATGACTTAATTATCACTTTAGGATTGGGGAAAGCGTTCCTCATTGTTAGGAGGTTGGCTTGGAGAGAACACACACTCCTGCACGGGATGTGGAGCAGAGGCTGAGCTCACATCCAGCTCTGGGCTGCCCAAGCCTCTCCAAGCCCACAGGGCGCCATGAGGGCCGTATGAGGCCGTGACAACAGTAGCTGTGTGCCACAAGCTCCCTCTACGCACCCTGAGGCACCTAGTTTAGCTGTGTAACATCTATTAGTATCCGAGGTAATCCTCAGAACATTCCTCAAGGCCAGCACCAAGCAACTCGCCCACGGCTACGCGGCCCCAGTGGCAGTGCCCGAGCCAGTGGCCGCAGCCTGACCACAGAGCCCCAGCTCCCAGCTGTTCTCCAGCTCCTGTGCTCTCATCGGCACACAGCCTTCCTTACACACTGTGTGGGACACAAGGTTACACGAGCGCTTAAACGTTTGCTGTTGTCATTGTGATTCCCAGGACGGGAGAGCAGAGAGAGCGCCCACTACAGTTAATTGTATTCAAGCACTCCACTGGGCACTCAATTTAACATAATTTTTTTAAAAGTTTAACTATGGTTAAAAAATATATATAAAATTTACCCCTACCCATCCCCACACAGTTCAGCAGTGTTGACCAAATTCACATCGTTGTGTAACAGAGCTCTAGATCTCTAGAACTTTCTCATTTTGCCAAATTAAAACTCTGTACCCTCTGAACAACAGCTCCCCATTTCTCTCTCCCACTAGCTCCTGGCAGCCAGCATCCTACTTTCTGTTTCCACGAATTTGATGACTCTAGGTTTCCCATATAAGTAGAATCATGTGGAATTTGTCCTTCTGTGACTGGCATATTTCACGCAACATAATGTTCTTGAGGTTCATCCGTGTTGTAGCAGGTGGCAGAGTTTCTATCTTTTTAAAGACTAAATCATATTCCTTATATATATATATATATATATATATATATACATATATATATATATATACACACTCACCATATTTTCTTTATTCGTTCATCCTTTGATGGACATTTGGGCCACCTCTACCTCTTGGCTACCATGAACAATGCTGCAATGAACATGGGTGTGCAAATATCTCTTTGAGATCTTGCTTTCAATTTTTTTGGATATCTATCTGGAAGTGGGATTGCTAGGTCATATGGTTCTTTAAAAAATTGAAGTATAGTTGATTTACATATGGTATGTTTTTAGTTTTTGAGGACGCACCATACTGTTTTCCATAGCACACACACTTTTACATTCCCATCATCACTGTACTTCCCAGCTCTCCACACAGTTACCAAAACTTGTTATTTTCTGTTTGTTTTTTTTTAATGGCCATCCTAATGGGAGTGAGGTGATATCTCATTGTCATTTTGACTGCAGTTTTCTAATGATTAGTGATGTTCAGCACCTTTTCATGTGTTCTTTGGCCATTTCTATATCTTCTTTGGAGAGTGTCTATCCAGATGGCACTTAATTGTTAAATAAAATATTTGACAGGAACATAAAGGTAGAAATAATATGACAAACACTGAAGAACTCACCACTCAGCTTAAGAATGAAAGCATAGTGTCAAAGCTCCGGGTCCCCCACCCTGCACACAGCCTGTGTGGGTCCTCTGTCCACCCTCTGTCCATCCTTCACGTCCTGGCTGGAAGTGCCCGAGCCACCCACAACATGCTGCTTTCTCCTAATCAGCCTATCTGACCCCCCCAGACAACTTCAGGCTTTAACTGAGATAAATATACTTTACTTTTAGCAAAGTCGATTTCCTCCATTTTCTGACCTTTAGTCTGCCTGAAAACAGATTCTTGTTCTTCTAGGTTTAAATCTTGGCTCTACTCTTCCTCACCCAGAGGCTTTAAGCAAGTCACTTAACCACCCTTAGTCTTACCCTCCTTATCTACTGAATGGGGATAATGAGAGTACTTCTGAGGATTAATTGGGTAATCCAATGTAAATTGTTATTACGATTAACCTGGCTCCAAAGGGAAAGGAACTCTGCTGTATTTGAGCAAAGCCGGTTGTGCCTGGTCTCAAAAAGGCTTCTGTGGATTTTGAAGAATGGCCCTCATTCAGATTTACAGTTTCTGGTGCAGCAGTGAAATACTCATGTTAGTATTTTTAAGTCGTTCACACACACCTTCCTGGAAAAGAGTTGTACATACTGTATCCTCCAGATTTTTCCTTAATAATTTCTAGTAGGTGGGAGGTTGGGTGAGTAGATGAGATGGTGGGGAAAATGGGTAGGAAAAATGATGTTAGGTAGATGGTAAAAATCACATGGCAGGTACGTGAGGCCGAGAGGGGATGCTAACTAACATGGTTACCTGGACACTGTGTATCAGTGGGCCTCAGAAAGAAACACTGTTTTTCTGTTTCAGGTAAAGCTTGAGAGCAACTTTGCCTCAATCGTGTTTGCCATCATGGTGTTGGAGGGGCTTGGCCGCTCACTGGACCCTAAACTGGACATTCTGGAGGCAGCAAAGCCCTTCCTTCTGAAAGGACCCATGACCCCCCGCTGACTGCAGCAGTGGGTGCGGGCGGCCTTCGTCTGAGAGCCGGAAGCCACTCCCAACAGTCTCTCCTGTGGTAGCTTGAACATTTTAAAACTGGGATGTGTGGAAGGTCTGCCACTGCTTTTCACTCTGAGTGGTTTCAGGGGTCTGTTTTCAAAGCTCTGGGTTGTTCGGGGAAGTAAAGGGAAACAACGGTCCTGTCCATTCAGTCGTAGAAGCTGGGCGTGGCAGCAGGGAGACTCTGTTTCAGGGGAAATGTTCTCTGGTGGAGGACGAATAAACTTAGTTATTTTGTTTTCTGGTTTTTCTCTCTTCTCTTCTTGACCCTGTATGTTCCCAGATCAAGTAGGTCCTATTGGTCTTTTCCAGACTCAGATATTTAGGTTAGAAAATGTCACAGGATCCTGTAGACCCGTGGTTTCCAAGTGTTTTTGATTATATACCCTACTGGCTAAAAGTTGAATATGTTTATATGTATGTGCACAAATACAATTTATTTATAAGTTTTATGCAGGTGCTACCATCACTAGCAGATCTCTGGTTGCACAACCTACACTTACGGAAAGTTACACGGTGTCTCAAATTATCTTTTTGATAATTTAAAATATTTTTTGCCAACCTCTTACTAAATTCTATTATAAGGTAAAAGGAAGAAGACAACAATGATTAATGTGACAAACTAGAGGCAGGAACAGATAAAGTTCTCCTCGGCTCACGTATTAGCATTCAGACGGTGTTTTCTCTTAGCAGTGTTCAGGCCCTTGTCCATCTGCCCGGGGTTAATTTTGGTTAATATTAGGATATGGATAATATAATCAATACATCCTTTTAACCAGGACTTGAAGTCCACAGTAGCACCCAGTGACACTCCAGCAGCGAATGAAGGGGTGGCAGCCACTTTCTGGCCCTCTGCACTGGGCCCACCCCGGACTGTTCTCTCAAAGCTGATCTGACATGTGGCTGGCCCGCATGGACTGAGTGTTCCAGGCTTAGCTTATAGGGTGGATATTAATTTCTTATTTAAAAAAATTTTTTTTAGAGATTTGGGGGGGGGACGTAATTAGGTTTATTTATTTTTTTAATGGAGGTACTGGGGATTGAACCTAGCAGGCACTACCACTGAACTATACCCTCCTCCTTAATTTCTTATTTTTGGAAAATATTTTCTCCTGCATCGCAGTGGATTCTCTTGCTCATTTTGGAGACCACTGCTCCAGACAGTGAGTGCAAAGTTGAGCCTTCCTTCTCTCTGAAATACCTGCTCTGACCACTCACCTAGATTCTTCCATTCTTTCCTTCTTAAAGATAAGGTTCATTTTTGTCTTTTAGGGAGCGAGTAAGATTTAGTTAGACAGATTCTTTTGGTGCAATTTCTTTCAGAGGGGTGAAGATGTTATTTTTACTTACCAAGTCTTGAGGGGAGGGCATTTGAGTCAGGCAGTGAGGGGCTGGGGGCTCCAGGTAGCACTGGGGTAGCTCCTTCCTCATGAGCATGCCACCCAGACATTTGGCCCCTTGTGCCAAATGCACGTACACTTACACTGTGGGGCAAGAGAGGGGCACAAACACAGCAGGTGTCTCCCTAAGCAAACACCAGCACCACTGAGGCTTTCTTTAAAGCCAGTGGATTCCATCAAGCCATTGTGACATGCATTAGTTATCTACCACTGCATACAAACTACCCCCAAATGTAGCAGTTTAATACAACTATGCTTATTACCTCACAGCCTGCCGGTCAGAGATCTGAGTGAAGCTCAGCCGGGTCCTCTGCTCAGGGTCCTGCACAGGCTGCAGGCATCCTGGGGCTCCGCTGGGGTGGGTCTGATGCCAAGCTCACTCATGTAGTTCCTTGTGGGCTGCTGGACCGAGGGTCTCAGTTCCTCAGGAGCCATCATAGCAGCAACAGCAAATGAACACAGGCTGGAATGAAGAGGAGAATAACAGGTCACTTGCTGATTTTTAAAATAAGTATCTTAAAAATACAAAACTTGACTTATAAATTCATCTTCTTGAGGAGAAGAGGCTACTTTCTTGGGTGTACGTGGATAAAGTGGCAGCATGACATCTCCCTGAAGGGAGGTCAAAGCTCAATTCTTCTAAAGCAGAAAGTACAGGGTTCATTTCTGTGTTACTAAAACCACTGGGAAGATGAGTTCCTTCCTTCTTTCAACAGGGAAAGGGAGATCAAGCAAGACTTTAAAAGTATGAAATTAAATAAACATCAAGTTGTGTGAACAAGCTTTTTTCCCCCTCAACTCCCTGCTTTGTTTCCTGTTTCCAGCTATGGGATAGATTCTTGATTTGGGGTTAGATCCCGTATGTTAGGCCATTTAGAGTCTGTCCTCACAGTTTGTTAAAATTTGACTGGGAATTTGATTTGCACGTCAAGGCTGAGAGCTCAATGTCAGGGCTTGGTGTCCTTCCCCTCACCCCCTAAAATGCATCCATTCGAATAGAGTGCTTATCTGAGAACCAAAAAGAGGGCCATCATGCAACCTGCAAAAGGCAGTCAAGGATATTTGCCTTTGGAGTTTTATTTTAATTATTAGTTAATTTATTAAATTTTTAGTGGAGGTACTGGGGATTGAACCCAGGACCTCGTGCTAAGCACGCACTCTACCACCGAGCCTCTCCTCCCCCTGCTGCCTGCCCCCCCCCACCCCAGAGTTTTTAGAGCATGTTAACAAAACAAATATGTGTCACTGTCACATGGTCGAAATAGTTGACTGGGACCATAAACTTTTTATAATAAAAAATGTTTATTATGCAAAATGTTAAAGCTAAGGACCCCACAAATGGTCTATAGAGCAATATTGCTTTAAATACAAGCTGGCAGGCATTAAAGTTAAAACATTCTGTTTTGTAATTCAGCAAGAAAGATGGGGAGGGTGAATGAATTTTAGTTTACCTGAACAGATTTTGCTACCAGGAAAGGAAGGTATAACAAAGAATAAAAATTTCCTGAGTACATGCTGTGGGCCAGGTACTCTCTTAAAAGGCTAATGAAGGGCACTGACGCTTGGAGAAGTAAAGTAACTTGTCCAAATTCGTAAAGCTAATAATTGGCAGAGCTGATGATTGTCAATCATCAGAATCTCAAGTTTTATGCTTTTTGTTTAAGCTGCGCTTTTTTCCCTTTCTTTCTTCCTTTCTTTCCTCTTTCTTTTTCTTTCTTTCTTTCTTCTCTTTCTTTCCTTTCTCTTTCTCTCTCTCTCTGTCTCTCTCTCTCTCTTTCTTGTGACCTTGGAATCACAGCATTGTTCTTTACTGGGAGCAAGTCAGGCGGTTGTATATGGGCAGCCAGCTCTCTTACGAAGGATGGAAAACCCTGTCCTCCCAATTCATAAAATTTATCTCTTAGTGGTTTGCATATGTCACTAGGAAGGGTACATGGTGAATGGTAGGCCAGAGAAAGCCACACTATTGCATATCAATTGGAAAGTCAACTTGCACCCAGAAAATAGTAAATTCTTTAATTTATATACATAGAAGTTAGAAGAGCAGGAGAAGGGGCAGTGAAGGGGGAAGTCCTCCCGTGCCAGAGAGTCATTCAATATGCTGTTCAGAAGCGCATGGGGAGGGGGGGGATACAGTTCAGTGGTGGAGTGCATGCCTAGCATGCACGAGGTCCTGGATTCAATACCCAGTACTTCTATTAAAGATAAATAAATAAACAAATGAACCTAATTGTCTCCCTGTGCCAAACAAAACAAAACAAAAACAGCCCACAAAAAATTAAATAAAAGGTGTATGTATTAAAAAAAAAAAAAAAGAGAGAGAAGGGCATGAGGGCAGCTCAATAATCATAGCTTTATGAAGCCTATCTCCAGGGAGAGAAGTTTCTAGTTACAGGGCACACGGAGGCCCATATCGTGCCGTAGAAGGAGTTACATTCAGTGCACTCAAATCTCTAAATTCATTTCTCTCCATAAGTTTCCTGTTTTTCATGCTTATGACTCAGTGTGAAGTCTTCAGTGCTTGGCTGGTGATCCATTTAAAATCGAAACCTCCAAGGCTGGCAGGTTAAGTTCGTAATTTAATAAAACCTGGAAGTTCTTAGGAACACTACAACCCGTAAGTAGGAACCCTAAGAATTTAGGGGGTGGGGGGAGGGGAGTCCAGAGAAGCTTGGAGTTCTTCCAGGATTTACTACAAGACAATATTAAGAGACAAAAGCCAAGAAAGCCAAGAACCCAGGGTTAGCTCAGGATAAAGGAATTAGGTGTACTGCATAAACCGGGGGCCTGCTAACATGCAGATTCCTTGGCCTTACTTGAGACTTAGAATATCTGGGGTCGGGCTCCTCAGGGGATTCTCCTCAGGGGACCACCAGTCCCTGTACTGATCGCTGGGAACCACTGGCTGAGGCTTGGTAATCAAGTTCAAGTTTGTAGAACAACAGTATAACAAATGAAGGCTTTAAAGAAACCCTTGTGAGCCTCTGCAGGAGAGAAGAGCCCTAAGGACTAGCTTCGGGAAGAACTACTGCTTCTGAAAGGATTTGGCAGCCTAAGAGGGTCTGGAAGGGCGGTTAATTCTGGAAGAGCAGGCGGGGGTGGGCCCAGGTTGGGTAACACCGTCTAGATCAGTAAGGGCGAACAAGCTCAGATTCAGTGTTAAATGTTGACTTTCCTTTTCGTAACAAAGAGGGGCTCCTGAAGCGGAGCGCCGAGGCCCTGCACGCCCACCCCGGGGCCTAGCGCGTGGCGCCACCCAGCCGAGCTCGCCAGGGCGGTCTACACCGTTCACCTTTCAGAGGCGCCTCCTGGCCGTCAAAGCCAAGGCGCGCTGCGTCCCTCCTCGTGGTCCCGGCGGCCCTCACCGGAGGGAAGGGATTGGGATGCCCCGCCCCACTCCGTACGTCACCCTCCGGGAGATGGGCGCGGCCCCGCCGCTGACGTCACTAGGCGGGGCGCCAGGGGAAGTGACGTGAGGCGGCGGAGGGGCCTGGGGACTGCTCTCCGGGCGCGGGCAGGCATGTCGGCTGTGACGCGGCTGGCGCCTTTCGTGCGCTTTGGAGGCCACTTCTTCAGAGGCCGCCGCGTGCGGGCGGCTGGAGGCTGTGGCGTCCGTCAGTGAGTGTTGTCTGGGAGTGGGGGTTCGCCTGCTTCTAACGGAAGGCGCCAGTCTTCGGGACGCCTTCACCTTGACGCCGGGCAGGTCCGGGTTTTAGCGACCTGCGCCCCGAGGCATGCTGGGACTTGTAGTCTCACCGTGCGACGCGGGGCCGGGGGAGAGCGGGGGCTCTGGGTGCGGAGAAGCTCTGCTCCCGTGTTAGATTATAAGTGCGTACCCGGCCATCTTTGCCCCCGGGAGAGCCTGCCCTCGGAAGTAGACAGTCGCATGTGCAGATTAGCTGGAGCTAATCTGGAAGCGAGAGCGAGAGTTGGGGAGGCGAGGGCGTTCCCGGTGCATATCGAGCCCCGGTACAGTTTCCCCACCTGTACCGTGTGGCTTGGAGCGTCAAGTGCGAGACCAGGTGAGGCAGAGGTGAGGCTGGAGAACTTGGGACGTAGGGAGGGAGTAGTAGATGGTCCTGGTACCTGGCTGAGGGATTTCGAATAGAGGCGATATTGGTCTTTGAGAGGTTTCAGTAAGAACTCACGAGGCCAGATTTTGATTCTGAGAAGTTACTATCGTTGCAGGCTGGAGAATTAGTTCTGTGAGGCACGAGAGAGGAGGCGATCACCCAGAGAGTGCCAAAGGGTGGGAAGAGAAGAGAGCCAAAAGTGGATGCTTGGGCAATATCGGAAAATATTTTTTAAAATATTTTTTAGAGCAGTTTGGGGTTTACAGAAAAACTGAGCGAAAGGTGCAGAGATTGCGCATAAGTCTCCTAACCCACATATGGGTAGCTTCCTCCATCACTGGCATCCTCCACCTGAGGAATACGTTTATTACAATTGATGAGCCTACAATGACGCATTATTATCACCCAAAGCCCATGGTTTCTTTAGAGTTCACCTTTGCAACACCAGAATTTAAGAGAGTGAGCAAAACTAGAGTCACCCATGATGTAGCCCAAGAAACAGGCTGGAGAGCATAGAGCTCGGATGCCAAGGGCGGGCACATCTACCAGAAACGAGTTGGTAGTGCAGAGAGTCAGTAACAGCGGGACTGAAAATAGTACATTGGATTTCTCCAGGTAATGCTCCAGGCCCCTTAGACCATCAGCTACTCTTCACCAAGGGGCAGTCCAGGATAGTGGTTAAAGCAGGATTCTGACCCCAGATTGCCTCTGTTCAAATCTCACCTCTGCCACACTCTTCCTATACGACCTGGGGAAAGTTTCATGATCTCTTAATAACTTAATTTTCTCACCCATATAATGGGGATAATAACGTTAACTTCCAGGGAACTAAATGAATAACAGATCTTTTAAGTGTTTTTTTAAGAGGGGAGGGTATAGCTCAAGTGGTAGAGCTCATGCTTAGCATGCAGGATGTCTGGGTTCAATCCCCAGTACCTCCATCAAGAAACTAACTAAATAAATAAACCTAATTACCTCCCCCTGCAAAAAAAGCAAAAAACAAAAAAACAGTTCCAGTGCCTAGTAAGGACCAGACTAATATTGTTTAACTATTATTAGGAAACTGAGGCCCAGGACAAAAGGAGTGACTTGGCTAAAGCCATACGTCTGTTAAGGATATGAAGCTGGGATAGGGGTGGGGTGGGAAGAAGGAAAAGGCGTGTGTGACCTGAGCAAGGACAGAGATGGAGAGCCACCAACAAGAGCACTTGACCCTGCGTGGGAAGACTAGAGTCATAAAGTGGTCTTTTAATAAAGATTGTAATAGAGCAGAGGATGTAATTTGCCTTTGAAATAGATGGCTAACCAGAACAAAATTAATTGGCTAATTTGTTTTTCTGGATAAGCTAGTGACCTACTAGTACAGGTTCAAAATGCCTTAACCAAAACCTTTGGGCCAGTACCCCATAATCAGCACAGTCATATTTCTGGTATAACATACAGGAATATTCACTTAATGAAAATCAAAATTAGCCTCTTGTCCATGTAGGCCAGTTTTTGCTGCTGTACAAGTTTAAAGCAAGCTTATGAAAAGCAAGTATTTCAAGGGATTGCAGAGCTCTGTTATTCTGTATTTTATGGACAAGGTGAGAAAGGTTTCATTTCTGGATGTAACTCAGAGCTTTGGATAAGTTCATACTTTGGAGATAGAGCAAGTGCTTACCGCCTCTGTTTTGTCGTATAGTGCTGGTGGTGGTGCGCATATCGAGCCCCGGTACAGACAGTTTCCCCAGCTGACCAGATCCCAGGTGATCCAGGCCGAGTTCTTCAGCGGAACCATGTGGTTCTGGATCCTCTGGCGCCTTTGGCATGACTCAGATGCTGTGCTGGTAAGTGCCAGAGAGTAATTCTTATCCTTTATTGGGTGGGGGGAGGGAAGATTTATTAATAGCTTAGCTTGTTTCTTTCTTCTGTTTGTAGACTATTTTTCTTTATGGATGTGTCCCTTTACCATGTTGTCCTTATGTATATAGAGGAATCCTGTTATGTAATGAAACATATTATCTCTGACCTTTTCCACTCAAAGATGTACATATAGGTGGCCCATGACTTACGGTTTCTATTTGGTGGCAGTATTTGGAAGGGAGACTATAGATGCTAGTTTTTTTACCTTCCAAACCAGGGTAGGAGTTCATCGATGGATTAAGTTTCATACTTACATTCCTTTAAATGATAAATATCATCTAGTTTGTCCAGAGGCTCAAGGCTGCTGGGTTGAGGTGGGATAGATGTAGGCTAATTTGTCTAAAGAACAGTAGTTACTGGTTAGTGACTTTGTTACATGTCATTGGCCTCAACTGAGCTTTTATTTTTAATCACATTTGTACAGACCCTGTTCTCTAGGCAATTACACTTTTAAGCCGTTAAAATCTGTGTTTCTTGATCCAGAATATTTTGAATTTTAATAAATTCGGTTTTGTTTCTAGGATAGGGGAAAAATCTTAAATTTAAACAGTGTACAACTTCTATATTTATATTTTTTTATTGAAGTACTGTCAGTTTACAGTGTGTCAGTTTCTGGTATACAGCACAATGCTTCAGTCATACATGAACCTACATATATTCGTTTTCATATTCTTTTTCGCCATAAGTTACTACAAGTTATTGAATATAGTTCCCTGTGCTATAAAGTAGGACCTTTTTGTGACCTTTTTTTTTCACGGTTGCCATCAGGGTCATTTTCCATATCCAGATCCTTCCCAGTGGACTGATGAAGAATTAGGAATCCTTCCTGATGATGAAGACTGAAAGTGTAGACTCAACTCTTTGCAGGTGGGTATGCCCCAAGTTTTTTTCTGTCTGTCTGTCTATCCATCTATTTATTTATCTATCTGCCTATTAATCAATTAATAGAAGTACTAGGGATTGAACCCAGGACCTCGTGCATGCTAAGCATATGCTCTACCACTGAGCCTTCCCCTCCCCACTAAGTTTCTTTTTAAAGTTATATTTACTGTTTGTCAGTAAAAATGTTTTGACTCTGCACCTATGATGGTCTCGAAGAAGCTGTACATTTCTGTTAAAGAAACAGACAAACCACTAATTGGAAAAAAATATGGCATGTGTGTCCAACAAAGGGCTTGTATCTAGTATGTGTAAAGAACTTCTATAATCAACAAAAATTAGATGAACAACTCAATTGAAAAATGGCAAAAACTTTGAGCAGACACTTCACAAAAGAAGATACGTGAATGGCCAATAATCATATGAAAAAAGGTCCTTAATATCATTAGTTACCAGGGAAATGCAAATTAAAGCTACAGTAAGATATCATTTGTATCCACTAGAATGGCTAAAATAAGAAAGGTGGGCAACTTCAAATGTTGGTGACAATATAGAGCAACTGGAATATTTGCTAGTAAGAATGTAAAAAGGTAAAATTTCGGCAGTTTCTAGTGAACAGATGTATATCCTAGGATTCAGCGACTTTATTCCTAGGTATTTACTCAAGAGGAATGAAAATACATGTCTATGAAAGATGTGTATAAAATTTTTCATAGCAGTTTCTTTCTTAATAGCTCTAAACCAGACCCAGTTGTCCATCAATGGGAGACTGGATAAACACATTACAGTATATTCATTCAACTGAATAATAATTCAGCAATTAAAAATAACAAACTACAAGACACAGGGGTAGGGAGTATAGCTCAGGGGTAGAGCACATGCTTGGTGTGCACAGGATCCTGGGTTCAATCCCCAGGGTCTTCGTTGGGGGGAAATTTTTTTAAATTAAATGTTTTTTAAAAAAGGAAATCTTAAAAAAAAAAAATTTAGATAAATCTCAGAATCATCATATTAAGCAAAAGGACTGCATCACTTAACAGTTACATAATGCATGACTCCATTTATATGAAGTCTTAAGTATCAGTAAGACTAGTCTATAGAGGTGGGCTGGGGAGTTTGGGGTTATATGGGTGTGTACAATTGTCAAAATTCAACATTGAACTGTACCCTTAATATCTGTGCATTTTTATTTTAATTACACCTTAATAAAGTTGTAACAAAAAAAATTAACCATTGCACATTAATAACTGCCATCAATCAAAATGTCTTGGGAGGGTATAGGTCAGTGGTAGAGTGCATGCTTAGTATGCATGAGGTCCTAGGTTCAATCTCCAGTGCTTTTAAAATAAAAACAAATAAATAAAATAAACCTAGTCTCCCCCCACCCCCCAGCAAACAAACAAGCAAACTGTCTTGGAAATTGTTAGGAAGTATTAAATGATAGTTAAGTGTTCCCGATAATCATACTATTACTATTATCAGTATTATCTTATTTAGAAGTAGCTCATTGACATGAAAATTATAGCAATTTGGGGGGTATGCAGGGAGTGAGGGGGATGAGGGTGAACAGTTAAGCTGTTTTACAGCTTGTTTTGTGTCTCTGGCTTTGCTATGGACAAGTCAGAAGTCCGGCCCTTACCAGATCTCGTTTCCCCAGCGTTAATGGGTCTGCCAGCACTAACCTCTTCCCATCTTACGTATTTTTCAGCATTCTCACACATGGTCATTAACATTTTAATGACGAGACTGTAAACCCTTTGACAAAGCAAGGTGATTTGGCTTCTGTCCTCTGCAAGGCTATTCACATGATTGATGCTCAGTGAATGCTTCAGTAATTGAATGAACAAGAATGATGTATATGAATTATTGAAAATACAAGTTTTTAAAGCTTTCTACTTTTGTTTCCTTACAGGAACGAGGTGAGAATTTCAAGAAATTATGGACATCATATTATATATTAAGTTGTAAATTAAAAGTGTTTTGGTCAAGAATGAGGAACTGAGTTAATAGATGTTTCTGATAATGACAACCATCCTTTGTGGATCAATTTTGTGCTCCCAGCTGCTGTGCTAACTGGTTACAGGCCCTTTCAGTGGATCCTCTTGGCTACCCCATGGTGTAAATAGGCATTAGGGCCATTCATCAGCGAGGACGGGGTTCAAAGAAGTGAAATAACTTGCTTAGGGTCACACACTTATGAGTGATGACCCCACACTTAACTTCAGTGCCATTCTGCCTACCTCCTTAGCTAATGTCTTAGTTATACTCATGTTGGCAGTTTATAGAAACTCTTGCCATTTCTGTACTACTGGTGTATTCTTGCCTGAGTATACAGAGGTTGGAGGTTGGTGCAGTCCATTTATTGTGTTTACATACCTCTTGTGGATTAGCATTGAGTTGCCATTTGTGGAACTCATAAGATATGCTTCTAACTAGGAATTCTTAGGCACAGGGGAATGGGAGATAACGGGTGAAGAGGATAATCCAGTTTTTCAAGAATTTGTTTCAGAGCACTTCCCAGCTTTCTGTAGTATCACAATTCTGCAGGTAAACTTACGCAGTAGAGTGGCTTAATGCTTGCCCAGGAGCATAACTATTCATATTTTTAATACAGGTTTTTGACCACCTTGGTGTTGGGAATGCTAAACAAGACAGATAAGATTCTGTTCTCAGAGAACCTAGATTTTAGGAAAGGAAGACATACAAGCAGGTAGGCCTGTGAAGGAGACAACTGGGTGACGTGCTGGAGATGGGTGGGTGCTGATCTTTCAGGTGGGTGGGAGAGGCATGTGAGCTGAACCCTGCGCAAATAGGAGGCACCAGTTGTGCAAGGTCTGAGAAGAGTGCCCCAGGGACAAAGAACAGCAAGAACCAAGTTCTAGGGTGGGACCAAAGTCACCATGTTTAAGGGACAAAGTCCAGTGGTGGGGTTGTGGCAGCGGAGGGGAGCAGGGGGACTAGATGAGGTTAATAGGTCATGGTTGCAGGTTTTATGTTAAATGCACTGAGAAAGCTGGAAGGCTCTAAGTGGGGGGGTGGCTCGTTTCAAGTTCCTAGTTCTCAGGTTTCCACTCCCCCTTTGGTTCTCCTCAGTTGTCAGAGTGGGCTCAATGGCAGCAAAAGCTGAAGCAAGTGGAAGTTTGACCCTCCCCGCCGCCTGCTCCAGCAGTCCCGAGCCTGCTAAGAGGGGTGCTAGCGACACGCCTTGGTTTTTGTGCTTGCTCACCTGTGTACGTGTGCTGTCCCAGCTGATAAATACTTAAGGTCTTTAAAAGGCCATAAGATCTTGCTTTTTTTGGTTCTCCACTGCTTCTGCTCCTTCCCCTCCCCACCCCTGTCAAAGTTTTTTGGTACAGAATACAGTCTGTAAGAGTGAACAAGTAGAAAAATCCCATTAGCTTTTTTCCTTAGAAATCAAGAGTTGCTTGACTTGAATTAAAAGGTAACTTTAAAAACAGCAGTCTTTAAAATCAGCCACATACTGAATCCTCTTTTCTGTACTTGGGCTGTGAAATCAGTTTAAGCTGATGCAGAAATTGTCCCCAATCTCTTCTCAAAGGAATGGGCCTCCACCCTGCTATGATAGCTTAAGTCCTCACCTTTTTTCCATTTTATAGATGGGTAAGCTGAACTGTAGATATGTTAGGTAACTAACTTGCCCAAGCTCCAAGACACAGAGAACCAAGGTTCTATCCTGGCTGGCTGGAGGGTCTGAGTCAGACAGATGGTGTAAAGCTTTTTGATCATGACCTACCTACTCTAAGAAATAATTTTATTCTTTTGTGTGTGTGTATGTGTATATAATTCAAAAGCATTATGAAAACTTATCTGTGATGGTTTCTCTTCGATTCTACATAAAATGGTTGACAGACTGATTTTACTACCCACTAATGGGCTTCAACCTGCAGTTAGAAAAACTGGCAGAGTGCTTGCTGAACTCAGGCTCTGGAGTCAGACTTGCTGGATCTGGCTCACAGCTCTACCATTTATTTACTTGCTGTGAGTTTGGGCAGATTACTTATCTGAATTGTGCCTCAATATCCTCATGTGTAAAACATTAAATAGATTAAATGGGTTAGTACATAAAGCCCTCAGAACTATATCATCTGGCATGAAGGAAATACTCTAAATGGAAGCAACTATTACTTCTAGACCATTGGGTCTAAGCTAGGTGTACAGTGACCTTTGAATCCCAGTTTGATTTTTACAGGAAAGCCTCCACATGGAGATAGACAAGCTGTAAACAGGTTATTTCAGCAGATGCAGCCCCCCTCCACCTCCTCTGCCTAATACAAAAGACATTTAGGATGTCTCTTTCTCCCTTCCTGTTGAGTAGCTAAAAGTACATTCACAGTAAAGTTTTAGCGTGTGGCCTGGTAGATGGAAAGATGTACCTTCATAAATGGAAAGGTAGGCGGTGAAACCATTCTTGATGCCAGCAGAGAACATCAAGTGTCACATTTTAACACAAATTTGTAAGTTTACCAAATTTCCTATGGAAACCTGAGTATAAGTAACACAACTGATTATCTAATAAAGTTGTGAGACAAGGGAGGTGCTGTCTAAGGAACATCTGTGGGGCATGTTAACAGGAAGGTACAAGAAGTCATCTCGGTTCCACTTGCCTCCAGAACTATTCTGTAGAAGAGGGTAACAGGTGCCTGCTGCCACTGGCACTTCGGGAGCTTCAGCGGGACAACAGGGTACCGTGGAGGAAACGGGAGCTGCCTGAGCTGCTGATGACCTGCTGCAGCTGCGGGACCGTCCCCTGTCGTCACTTCCCGGAGCGGTGGGCTGGCTCCTGGGACAGGACAGCATGGGCAAGTGGAGACTGCTGGTCAGCATCCACTTCTAGCTGCATACTCGAGGTCACTGAGTCCACACCTGCTTCTCTCCAGTTCATTACAGTCATCACAATCACAACAAAAAGGTACATATACAGCATCCATAAAATGCATAGTAGTCATCTTGGAAACAAAAGCCTGACCTTGCCTGGCCACCTGAGCGTAGGAAAGTCATCCCTGGGGATTCAAACTCAGTAACTGAGGAGGGGGATCATGCACCTTTATGAACTCTTGGCACTAACCTTTTATGAGTCTAGGAGAACTAGTGTAACCCGGAGAGCAAGCCCAATCTTTTCAGCCGCTGATAAAATTGCAGAAGAGCTAGTTTAGTAGGGTTCTTTATAATAGAATTTTATCACAGCTCTTAAAGGGTTTATAATTCTGGGCTAAATTTTAAGGAAAACTACAGAAATGGGGCTACAATTACTCTAATGATGTATGAAAGTTATTTAAAGGTGAGTGTTAATATTTATATTACAGAATTAGTTTTCTTTAGATGAGAAAACTGCAGTTCAGAGAAAATACTTGTCTCAACAGCACTTTATGTTGGAGGGGCATGAAGATGAGAAACCAGTTCTTCAAATATGTGCCGTCTTGAAGACTTTTATGTTCATATTGTTCTCAGACACAGGGTTTCCAGGTGAAGTTTTAAAATTGTTTTATCTCTCTTCTGGAAACTTCACCTGGTAATTTGACATAGCCTGAAGATACTTTAGATGTCTTTCAAACTTCATGAAATCAAATGCATAAAATTACCTTACAGGGGTAGGTAGCCAGCATTAAAATAATAATAATGAAGTATAAAACATGAGTGCATAGTTTCAAATACATGTGTTTGTGTGTACATTCTGTGTTTCTACAGAAAATGTATTATTGGAAGTTGTGTCAAAAAGTTTGAAAGACAATTCTCTGGGGGAACTTCTCCAGAGAGACCACTTCTTAAATGACTCAATTACAGCACACACTTCAGCTGAGCCACTAGAGGGGCACAGTCAGGTCACAGCATCATAAAGTACCTGAGGACAAAAGACTGTCACCACTAGAAGAGTGTAGCCACTACACTGTACCAGGCACTTACCTTGACAACTGACTTTAAATATTTTTCTCATATAAGTAACTTCTACCCACCAAGCAGTAATTGACATTATGTATGAAAAAAGGTACACTTCTCAGTCCCTCCAGTGCCTAAAAGAACTGACTATCAAAACCCTGACTACCTCTATTACTGAATGTGACAGTGCTAGAAAAATGATCTTGATAAAGGCTTCTCCATGCAGTCAATCTTTATTTTAGCAGTATTCGCATATTCACATCAAGTACATAGATCTTTTTTTGCCTTTTATATAATACAGAGTTTTTAAATAACTTTACACAGAAATAAATTTCTTCAATCTGAATTTCAGCTATCTTTATTTAATTCTCCATGCTTTCTACCCAAACTGAACAATATTTTCCATTGTACAAATTTACATGAGAAAAACTCCAAAGTACAAATGAAGGGACCTGAGCAGGAAAGAGAACCAAAGTATCAGGAAGTGGGTATGGGGAAGAACTGACAGAAAGATTCAAGCAAACACAGGATTAAGGAACAAGAGGGAGACATCATCCATTTGACTGAAAATAAATGTCTTTTTTTATGAATTGAAAAATAAGCTTTAAAAATAGTTACTCCATTGTAATTTTTGCAAAGCAGGTAGAGAGAGAGGTCTGTGGACAATTTTCACTGGGCACACCCCAGACTCCATGACAACCTTTTCAATGCTTGAGCAGAACTGAAGTGAACTAAACCCAAACCTTTGGCAGCAAGAAAGGAAAGGAATGCGTATGTGAATCACCATTAGGTCTGGAGTGGTAAACCAGGGGCCATCAACTCACTGCAGGTAAAACAAAGGATTTCCCTTTCCTCTCTTACAGAATTGTCCTCAAACCAAGAAATTTGTGAAAAAGGGGATGATTCCCTTTTTCTTGGTCCAAACCAAAGAGCAATCATAACTGCTAAATAGAATTCAAAGGGACATATGTCAAACAGTTAAATTCAATCTCCTGAGAATTGTACACTCCTATTTAGGAAAAACAGCAACTGCTGTGTAAGGAAAGGGCCAGAGTGTACAACCAATGAATGAGATATCACTGTGACAGACTCCTTCAAATCAAGCGACACCATGAAGGCCATAGCCTATGGCACGGCCAAAGGAAACAGAAGACCCAACAAACGCATTTTCATATGAAGGAGGGCAAAGTTACAGCACGCACGCGCGCACACCCACACATACACCCCCCTGTATGTAAACTAACATAACATGAAGATAAATAAGACATAAAGGTTAGCCATTTATGTTTGTAATATGAATAAAAAGGCATTATATGTTTACATAGCTGTTTTTAATCAGCTACGGAACATATGCAAATGTATTAGGAAGGAATGATTTTTTAAAAACCCGTTCACAGCTTAGATAAAAAGCACACTTATTGCACTCTTACATTTTATTTCAGGTAATTATAGTTTATTTCCCACCCTCACATCAATTTTTCCCTACCCCTAGACTTACTCCTCACCCCTCCCCCCCATTTTGGTCCATTTTGTCTACATTTGTGCCTTGTCTGTGAGCTTTGTTGCTTATGCTAGTCTGAAGTTTCCTCCTATGTGACACATACTCCACCAAAACACAAGTGCATTAAAAAAAGGCTTAACACACAAATGTAACATAATAACCTTCAAAACAAAACCAATTTACTAAGCAACTTACTCGTAACCCCCACCCCCACTTCTGTAACAGAAGCCTTCCTCTGCTGTGTCTTTTACGTGAATTTCTTGCCCAATTTCCCACACAGACACTGTGATGAGAACCAGCCGCTCATGGGTGCTGGACAATGTGCTCAGCCTGCCAGGAGAAGCAGATGGTTTGCACAAATTTGTTTTTGGACACTAACATGAATAACATATTTCGGCTCTTTGTTTTCAAAGAGTATTTCAATCTACAGAATTTTTTTTTTTTAATGCATCACCAAAACCCAGATACACTCACTGGCTGTGTCCTCATGCACAACTGGCTTTATCATTGTAATTAGTCAAAACAGCTAAATAAAATCAAACATTTTAATAAAACTGATTTAGTAACTGATTTAAGTAACAGTTGGGTAAAGGAGGGTCAAATGGTTAAAAAAGTATTAAAAAATAACAGTTGAAGTTATTGATGTTGAAATAAGATCTAATCACTTTTTTGAGGTGGAGACTAACCACCCTTAAATGTTTTAAAATAAACCACTGTTATCTTAAGATTCTAGGACTGATGCTTCTGTCCACTTCTACCTTAAAAATACCTGATAGAAACTGTTAATTACCACAACTGGCAAAATTTAGGACTGAAATTCAATTTAAACATCTTCCCAAACAGAGGTGAAAAACTGATTATCTAGAAACAACAAAACACAGCTTACTGTCTAGTGTACTGATAAAACAAAAATCTTACCAGTATTTTCAATGTACCAGAGCTAGCAACATGGAACATGAGTACACTGGCCACTTCATTCTCCTCTGGCCAATATACAACCAGGCAGAGATGCTACTGCGCTCCTCGGGTGCTCAACAACCTACGGGCATTAGTAACACACCTTAGTAAAACATCTAGAGAACTCGCTGGAGCTTCTTTGAAGGTGGCAAGGAATCAAGATACAAGAAGCAGACCGTGGAGCCTGTCCAATTCACACCCACTGGCCAGGTCCTTACCTCTTCCAATGTCCCCATATAGAGGAGCCTCTCGAGATGGCACCTGGCCCCCAGAGAACCTTGAACAGCATCAGCACGACAGCTAATCTGCAAACAAGTCCTGGGAGGCAAGCTGACCTTTCACACGCACCAGTGTCTACGTTGGTAGCAGTACTCTGGAAACCAACAGTATCAAACTCTGTCCTACATGTTAATTTCCCCCTTCTCACTAGTTAAAACATGACTGCTGCCCAGCACACAGTACTTCAACCATAAACTACAGCATTTTCTTAGAATGTCTGTCAAACATTTCTGTTGTATAAAAGTTCCATGCTTTGAAGAACCTAAGGGAGTAGAAAAAGTTTCTCTAGAAATGTCTTTGAACTATGATTTCAACCTAGTTGCTCTATGTGATAAATATATCTGACTATACTAGGGATTATGTGCTTTAAAAAAATAATTTTATTCACTGAAAATTTACCTGTGTGTTTTCTCATTTTTCAAATGTGATTTTGGCTATAAACTCTTCAGTGCATTTATCCTTGCAGTCTAAATTGCACTCTAAAAAATATTAACACAGCTGAGTTAGACCAGGGTGGCTGCTCTCTTCACATATCACTGATTTCTGCTAAAAATTTAGCTTTTTTTATTGCATCATGAAGGCACAGTAAGATCATTTGGCAAATTGTCAAGGTATTTTTCTAGAGGCTCACCCACACCATTTTAATGTATGACTTGTAAGCCATTTGCTGTTTATACTTACAGTAAACTTTCCATGTCTGGCAATTTTTTTTGTTTGTTTTTTAATAGCCTAATGGTTAGAATCTACTAGTCTCAAAGTGCTGATATTCTAGCACTAACAATGCCAATTTAAACAAAGGAGAGAATCTTGTAAAATGGGTCATCTTCTACCCTCTTAACTGGGCAGTCTGTCTACAGGAGTCTCTGTGTATGTGACAAAGCTGTGGCTAACTCATTATAAAGATGTACTTGCCAAGCCTACTGAAAATTAAAATTGTATCACTGTTAGTGAAGTGTTATCATTAACTATTTCATTCCATGCAACTGACTTAATGTTAAGATTCTGAAACGTACCCCTAAACAGATTCTGGCACCACTTTCAACAACATTCAGATACTCTGAGCTACATTTTTCAGTATTACTGCTGAAATGTATAATGCCCTTTAGGACAAAATGAGAGTGCACAACACAAGTACACATAAAAGTTAAAATCTTAAATCATCTTCATGTTCTAGAGCTCCTGACTTTCCATATTTTCAAATAAATAACTATTCATTACCTCATTCTGAGGAGGTAGTTTTTGAAGAGGTCACCTGAACCCTGCAGTGTGTTTCAAACTAAAGCTAAATGAGGTTCACACAAGGCTGGAGAGGTGAGTGGGGAGGGGTGAGATCTGAGGAGGGGGTGCAGCAGTTTCAACAGTGCCTGCTGAATAAAAGATAACATTGTGTGATAGAGAGCTATGACTGCACCAAACGAGAAGCTAGGAAATATTTACAAAGTTTCAGGTCGAGAGTGTTGAAGTATTGAATTCTTTATTACTACAAAGTGCTCTTCCTTCTCCAACACCAACGTAAATATAATATATATACTAAAATATACGGGATTTTACCTTCTAGCTTGCCCCAGTATGTCCTCCCAGATCTCAAATGCAATCAGGGACTGGATGTTGAGAAACCAGAATTTGACATCTAGACACAATCTTCTCTTAAGGTGCACATAAGTACAAATGATTATATTGGATTTTCTATTCACAAATCCCTTTTATAAACTACTTTTTGTCAATATTATTTCAGTGGCAAAAGTTTAGATCCTAGCCTAGACTAGTTTAATGATGAAAAAGTCCATCAGGAATACTACATATTTTAAAACAATCTTTTATGGTTGCTCTCAAATTTTCCACCTCTCCTTACCCAAAATAAAATACACTACAGAAGGCACTGCAGCCACCTTACAGGAAAGACAGATAATTACAGCCTTACAAGATCATCAGTGAAGCAGCCACACACTATCTACACAAATTACTCATAAAGTGCTCTGCACAACAAACAAGGAGTTCTTCCTTGTATTTTCTTAGGAGCCTAACAAGTCTATCTATAGTCTAAGCATCAAAAATAAAGCAAGTAAAACTCAGAAGAAATTCCTTTTCCATGTCATGTGTAAACTAGAGAAAAAAGGAGTTGATGGAGAAAAGAAGAAAAGGAAAATTCTAAAATTTTATTTTTATTTTTTAAGAGCTCTGTAAGAATCTCTCAAGAATATCCTGAGCCAGCATCTGGGCAAAGTTTCACTTGAGATCAAGTCTATTCCCCCTTTTCAAATAAGATAGCAACCTATTCTAAAAAGAAAGGGAAGAAAAAAGTGTATCACCTTGAACTTTGTTTTGAAAATTCCAATGCTAAGCTTTCCCCATAACTGCCGAGGCAGTCCTGCACTAGAGCCTCCGGCAGGACACGCCTCTGGTTCCAGCCCAGCTCTCTCCATTCTTGGTAGAGGTAACATAAGCATGTTTAAAAGCATCTATGGGGACATATTTAAAAAGAAAAATAAACAACGCTTTTAAAAGAGAGGCAGCATTATGCACACAAGATGCTCTTCAAATCAGCATAAATCATTTCCATTTTTGCAAACTTCGAATTTTGTAAGATATTGCTCTGCTCATGTAAGACTTAAGAACACAATGCTTTTCAAACTCATTTATAACTTCAGAATATTTTCCATTTTACTGGGTCAATCTTTTACAAGTCCATGAAATTTTTAGTAGGCCTTCCTCCGAATACAAGTATTTTAGCAACAAGTATCTAATGGCAGTAAGCTTTAGTAGGCTGAGATAGCGGGGCAAGTCACAATTTGAAAACTTTAAATAATTTCTAATTCCCTGATTAATTTTATAGGTCCTATCTAATTTCTTTCAGGTCCTTGGCTACATAGCTTGGTCAGGCTAGGTACATTTGATTTGATTTACATTCCTAAATCTTGATAAGAGATTCTAGATTCATGATAAGGGAGGTATTTGCCCTTAATACATCCAGAGTCACTTTCTTTGCTACTACCACGCTTTAGCAAAGGCCAAGGGAAGTTATGACTAGGTTATATTCTCCATTTATGCAAAGATAAAGAATGAGGTTCTTAATGCCACAGCAGTTCTTTCTATAAAAACAACTGATGTTCTGCTTTACACATCCTCCCTCAGTCCCAACACACCTAAAATTGCTCTCTATTCTCTGCCTGGGGAACTAAGCTGCCAAATTTACCCAACCTTTTGAAGACCAGGCTTGGGAAAAAAGGAAGGAGAATGAATGAAGACACCACCATTTTTATTTTAGGTTGCATATTCTAGATAAAAGACTAGAAAGAGGATGGAGGATGTAGTGTAGGAGTAAGTTGGAAGAAACAATGAGATATTAGTAAAGATGTTAGTGTGGATCCAGCAAGTACCATTAATTTCAAAATTATAAATATTTGTCATTATGCTAAGACTCCCATGTATTTAGGTAGAGAAAAGGATATTGATCTTTCTTTAAAAGCTGTTTATATAACAAAAATACAATTTTCCAGGATATATAATTCTAGTGGGAAGTATTATTTTATTCCAATTCAATTAAATGTGAAAATTATTTTCTTTTTAATAAAAATATAATAAACTCAGAAATTAAAACTTGTACCTTACATTTAAATTACATAAACGTCTCACATTCAAAACTGTTATCAAGCAGTTTTGTAGGCTTTTAATTAGGTACTGCCATGGCATTTTGTGCCCTGGACAAAGTAGCCACATAGGTACTTGGTGACTGGAAGAGCTTAAGAGGAAGATATCAATTGTATTTTCCTGAGAACTTGCTACATTGCAGAGGAAAAAAAAAATCCCCAAACACTTGTCTTTGTTGCTGGACCCAATGGGAAAAGAAGGCAATGTGCGCCAGCACTTCCAGCCTGCCCGCCAGGCAGACCCACGGTGAGCAAGGAAACAAAGGCCGGAGACCCAGCAGGTCAGGAAAAAGATGCAGCATTCCCTTTTGCTCTACATCAAAACCTACCTCCTCCCCTCTCACCTGCCATTTAAATAAAATAGCTTCATTTTGATAAAAATTTGTCAAGGACTGAACATGCACCACACAGGAAGGGCATGCTGCATTCTTGTTCCATCCCTCAGAAATTAACCAGTGACGGCTGGGGAAAGAGCTCCAAAACGAAATCCCAGGACAGGAAAGAGAACGAGGCTTGGTGATCGCAACTGCCCCATCAGATGACCAGCCACACATTGATCTGGTGGTTAGAAGGGCAAAGTTGACTGGCAGACTTTCCAGAGCAAATCTCCCAAGCTGTAGCAGCAGTTTCGTTCCATCATGCCTGACCATCAAAAGGTCAGAACTCAGGGTCTCTCCTCTTTCTTCCTGGGAATGGGCAGACTTGTATGCACGTGGTATTTGTGTTGAAGAAACACTGGCAGCAGAGAATTCTGGTTCCTAAAACATTCTTCCCTCTTTTGTTGGATGGGAAATTCCATTCTGTTCCACACCAGCTTATGCATTGAAAATTTTGTATCTTTAAAAAGATTTGAGGAACAGAACTGTGTTTTGATGTTAACAAATTGTACGAACACAAGACTTAAGAAATAAGAGTAGATGCTCTCATGATGGTGTGGCTACTTGAAGGCTGCAAATTCTCCTGTAGAGGGAGGAGAAGAGCTAATTTTAAAAAAGTTATCTCAAATAACTTTGAGTCACAGAAAAGCCTCACTGAAACCTCACTGAAAGGTGATTAACTAGACATCATTAATTTAAAAGCAAAAGTGGCTGAAACCATGAAAGATGACAACTTACACAGTATATGAAGTCTGTAGATAATTTCCCAGTTGGGTTTTACATGCTATGGTTCTAATCAAGCTGAAAACAGTTCTAATGAACAAAATTTCTCAGAAACGGATGGTAAAATGGTAAGGCTGATTTGTAGAATATTTCCCCTCCAAATTACCAACTCATTTTCATTATTATAATGCCACTATTAGGAAGGAAGAAGCAAGAACTTTTTCTCATTTTGTAAAAGATAAAATCCACAGGGCAAATGATTCATATCACACATTTGACTGAAGGAAAGAAAATCTAGACCCATCCCATTTCTAGTTCATTTCACTTTTTAAACTACCAAAAAATTACATATAGGAACACGTCAATGAACATTATTCTCAGCATAAAATTTTTTTTAAACCACAAAGTCCCTTTGAGGTACTATACTCTCTTACTGAATTTAGAGGCTTCATGCCATTATCTTCACCTACTTACTATTTTGTCCACAGCTTCTACTTGAAACTAGAGATTAGTTCCTCTTATTACATGCATCATAGTTCATTTCTAGGAGTTGGCTAATAACTGACAACTATCAGAATTTAGTCAACCTTAACATCATTTTTCAGTAACAGCAGCTTCTGATGAGGATTCAAGCAATCACTTATATGAATATGCTATTTAATCCAGAAATAATCTATCCATTTTCTGATTACTATCAGATTTCAAGTGGTTACTAGAGAATATGGGCATGTCCCAATAAACAACAGACTGCTAATGACTGGCTGACTGACCCCTCAGATTGTGTGCTGATAATATTAGCAACTATTCGACTGTCTGTTATAGTATACCAGATGCTTCACTGAATACTTTATACACATTTGCACCTGATCCTCATAATAACTCTATGAGGCAGGGGCTATTATTTCTATTTATTTTACAGAGGAGCAAGCTGACGTTTACAGTGGTTAAGCAACTTGCCTGAAATCTCACAGTGAGAGAAGAGCAGAGCTGGAATGCAAAGCCAGGTGCTGACTCCAAAGTCCAAGGTCTTAACAATTAACAAGTCCCTAAACAATTTTCAATAATTAATCATTTGTTTTCCCATTCTGAATATAACTACTGATTGGACTGCAGACAGTCATACTCTCTCTTTCCATCTAAGGGTTCCTTTTAACAAGCAAAATTAATCAAGATATTGAGTCAAAAGATCAAGGAAGGGTAAAAGATTTACCACCTCATATTTAAAGTTAAAATGACTGGGGAGTTAGACACTGATTGGAAAAAAATGCCAAATTACTAACATCTTGGAGAGTAAAACATTTAGAGCATATCCATAGGGATCTATTATGTTAACAGAGACTCTAGAAATATGTAAACATCCTTACTACCTTTGCTTATAGTTTTAAGGTTGCTAATTTTTTCAGAAGTATTTTAATATACTTCTTTAAAGCAATTTTCAACATTCTTATGAGTGGTCACTGTATCTAGGAGAATCTAAATCTCCTTAAAGGAAGCCAATGTAAAGAGAGGATTTACTTAACAGAAATCTTCATAAAAAAATAACTAGAATTCATCTATTAGATGAGAGAATATCAGAAAATGATAAACTCTAGGCCCAATCTTATATAACAAGTTAAAAATAATTTTAAAAAACCTTCACATGTTTCCTATCATTATTACAACTAGACACTTCATTTTGGTGTTCTACTCTACAAACTTAATTAGCCTTAATAATAAAAACACACAAAACCCCCAAAGCACAAAATCTTACCAATAAACTCCAAATCAAATACCAATAAAATGAACACTAAAGATCATTCTACCAGAGTCTACTCCTTCTACTGGAATGTGGTTCTTCTCATCATCAGTTCTTTTCATCCCAGGTCCAAGGGGGAAGGGGAATGGGAAAGACAAGAAGAACTCATAGTTTAGGGATCAATAAAACTTTCTATGTGTGCCCCTGAAACTACAGAGAAATTTAAATAAAAGATGGGGATAGGTGAAGGATCTGCTTTTGGGAAAAAAATTTTGTTTCCTTGCTTATTCCTTCTTGCATATTGGGAAATCTCTATTATTCCACCTCCTACCCTATTTTATTTGAGGTAAGAGTCAACTTGGCTTGTGTGAAGTTATTTGAAGGGAAACATCTAGATACTCTGTAACTTAAAAAAAAAAAAACTCAGTATATTAATTTAATTATTAACCAAAAATCAATTGGAGGCCAAAATGAAACTTTAAAAAAAAATCTCCTTTCTGGTTGAGAATAACCTAAACTCTTTTTCCGTTTGACTTTATTTAGAAACAGAACAGAGAACACTTGGGAAGACCCTGTGACTTCAGATACCTCAAATATCACATTTTGTTTATATGAAAACTAAGGACTTTATTAACTAGTTTTAAGATATTACTAAATAATCACCTTTAATTCTAGAATTAAATGTATTTCAGTGGCTTTTACACATATAATTTGATAAAAATTCCTTAAAGATAAAATATACTATGAAAAATCAAATTGCTATTTTGTACATGTATCAATCCCTGTTTTAGATGTAGGGGGTAGTCATTTGAAACCAGAGTAAGTCCCATTCTTTCTTTGTGGTGAGCTTACAGGCAGTTTCAAAAGGATGAGGAATATTCTGGCACAGATACACTGGACTTCTTAAAATTCTTAGAGAAATCATCACAGGAGAAATGAAATATTTAGTAAAAGAAAAAGTATTACAGATATGTTCAATAATTCTCAAATATGATAAGACTATAACTGACAAAATGTTTTAGTCATGAAGTACTCTTTTCATTAAAAAAAAAAAGACCATTTCCTTTAGAGAGCGATCCACTTGAGATAAAGGCCATTTAAGCTGGTGTGTTAAACCGGATAATTAAAATTTTAATTACTGGGTTAGTATTTAAATGGCTGGTACAGTAATACTGTAATATCTGAAAATAAACCTGAAGCATCTGATTAAATGCTATGATCCCTAAACTACTTAAAATCAAGAAGACAAACCTCATTCTTCATCACTGACTTAAAACTTTTAAAATGTTAAGACAAATTTTATAAAAAGGTTGCCTTCTGAAGAAAGGAGTCAACTTTAATGAAAATATCTGAGGGCTCAGGTTTTAGGAAGAAGCAGTCAGTCACAAGAGAATGAATGTCTTCTGTTTCAATTCCTTAATCAAAGAGATTAACTCTACATATGGTCAAGAAAATAGTGTTTTTCTTATTTGGAGAATGCATCTAAAAGTCAGTATCAAACAAAACAGCAACAACAGAAAGAGACACTACCATGTTATCATTCTAATGCTTCCTATTTCTCCGGATTCATGTTATTTAAATATTTCACCTGCTATATTTTTAATGTTCTTCCACTAACGTTTCCAGTGGGCCCAATTTGGAAAGAAGAACATTACTATGCAACATGTTGGAGGCATGTTCAAATGTCTATGGGATGCTATAATAAGATTCTGAGCAGTTCTAAGAGTTTGGCAATGCCCTCTGGCAAAGGAGACTGGTAAAGAAAGGCAGGAAAGGAGTCAAGTGCAGATGTGGGGGACTGGGTGGTGGTTAGCCTGGGCAGTGTTGGGGGAAAAAAAGAAAGTGAACAAAGGAAGAAAGATAAAAGTGAAGAAAGTATACTGGGGAATTAAAAAAGACCTCTATCAATAAAAAGATCCTTCGACTCTTGTGTCTCAAAATGCCCAAACCTTTGAGCATTCCACAGACCAAGTCAATTTTGTAAAAATGTTGTTAGCTACATGCTTGCTATTCAATTTACGAAAAATAAAACCCCATCTAATAATCACCAGTAATCATATCTTTAGTGTCACTGGAGGATTTAGAAATCATGCACTTTGATATTTTTGAACAGGTTATTTCCTTTTATGCCTTTCTTATTTTCACTTTTTTAAAATACAAGGAATGTCTTTTTCACTACTCTTTCTAAATTGAAAGTCATGAATTGATTTCTAAAAACATAATGGCGTTATTCACCAAATGAGGTGCAAAAAGGCATGCCAAACTTATCACTGAGTAGTTTCCCTGGATGAAACCTAACTATTCAAATAAATAAAATATTTCAAAAATTTATTTGTGGTATTTAAAGATTAAATTATCATTAGTTAAAAGTCCTCCTGGTTTTCTTCTTTACTGGCTTTCAAGAAGGATGGCATTTATGCAGGTCCTGTCTGTGTGCCCCTTGAATTGTCAGCTATATTTAAAAATCATCACAAATCCAAACTGAGAGAAGATGTAGTTAAGAGCCTGGCTCTGGTTCCTAGGCTGACTCTGAAGTAGAGATGGCAATTTCTCTGATGACAGCAATGCTGCTTCTTTTGCTTTTGATTTCCAACAATATATTGGTTCACAGTAAGAATACACTGACTGCCACATTATAATTATTTTCTACGCAAGAAAGTGTAAGCATTAGAAAGCGTTAAACATGCTTCATACCACAGAATTTAAAAAAAAATAAGTAGCATTCGTCTATAATAAGTAGAATGTTGTTGGGCAAAGAACACAAGGAGGAAAGATATTTTATGAGACACATGGATAAGGTGATTGCTAATAGGCATCACAAAAAGGAAGTATAATCTAAAGTAATAATAATTTTTAAAAAATCCATTACCTGGTTGGTTGGCAACCAGAGATTTCTAAAAGTTCTCACAGAATTCTGTAAAGCTTTTTGAGGGGAGGAAGAGGAAATGCATTTGCAGGGAAATTCGATTTCTTTATGTGTAAGACATCCTTAATATATAAAGAAATTCTACGTAAAAACCCAAAGTTACACCATGTTACACATGTCAAACATGCCACTCCTTGGCAATATCTTTGGTTACCTGCACCCACAATTTATACAAAGAAATTTAATGTATTGCTTTAAGGGAATAAAGGATAACTATATTTTCCAAACTGTAACAAAAAGAAATAGAGAAAAAATATTAAGAATAAAAATAAGCTCATTCAATTCTACTGACTCCTAATTCTGTTCAATTTGCCTTAGTTATCACAGCCTAACCTACTGTCAACTTCCCACCTGTCAACACAGACACAGGTGCACTGCTGCTCTAGGAGCCCCTAATGGATGCCTGAGAGCTAACAACAAAAGGTGCATGAGGAAAGTTAAACTGAAGTTTAATAATTAGAGTAACCAAGTAAACAAAACAAACTTGAACAGGAAGTAAAGCTTCTGGAAGAGGCACTGTGAATTTTTAGCAATGTCTGTGAATTTTTAAATCTCTTTGATGTGGAAAATCTAATGCATAGGAAAAAATTATATCCAGCCTTTAAAAACATACATGTTCTTTTGTTCATCTTCTAAAAAAAGAATATCCTATTCAATTAAACAAATACATAAGCAAACATATGTTCACTTTCCTTTGTCCCTACCCTCCTATACTCTGTCACTTATTTAATTTTTTTCAGTGGACAGGAAACGCACCATATCCCCCTGCTTGGATGGGTGTTTTTGGAGAAGCACAAGCATACAGACTAAAATCCTCTGTCTGGAAGCCAGCCCGATTCAAGGAGGGTTCTGATGCACTGCGGTGAATTTTTGGCAATGAGCGGGCCAGCAGCTCAATAGAGGCGAGAATCTAAAAAAGGGAAAAAAAGGAAAAAAAAAAAGAAGAATGAAAATCTAAGCAGTGTGAATCTTTAAGAGCCCCATCATTCTTTACAAGATTGCATATGAAATCTTACATTGTTTTCAGTATTATCCCAAATGCCTGGAAAAATACTAAAGAAACTGACATTTTTCCTTAAAAAAGAAAAGAGAAAATCATCAAATTACTACAGCTTTAATCTCTGTAACATGAATGGGAAAAGTAACCCATACTTAGCTTTTATTTACATTTTATAATCTTAGATCATTCGCCAACCTTGGAACAGTAAATAATAAAAAATTTAAAATCAACTATATATCTATTTCTCACAGACCACAAATCCCTTTTGGGAAGAATAGGAGCATAAATAACTAAAGCACTGTATAACTTCATAAACATAACTATTAGAGCAACTCATTCTTTAAAGAAATTTACTAACAGGAAATGTCTTGCACAGAATTAAAAGTAGGACCCCAATGACCCAGAACGCTGGTGGTACAAGAGTAAGAAGTGATAGATGACAACCCATGAGTGAAAGAAAAGACAGGAAAACTCTACAAATAGACACCAATACACAAAATGTAGAAATTCAGCATATTTTTAAGGTACAAAGAAACAGGTTATGACTCTTGAAAGCATACAGTGTAACACATGCTCGTACTCATGAGACAAACATGTAAAGGGCTTGGCACAATGCCTGGCATATAGTAAGTACTCAATAAAACTTTAGCAGCCATTATTATTATTATTATGATTATATACTATATAGTAGTATTATATACATTATATACTACTATTATTACTACTATTATTTTTCTGAGCTAACAAAAATTTTTTAAGTTAAACTGTAATCTGTATAATGATTAGTATAAGAAGGCAAAGAAGTAAGCAATGTTACAAAAATTTTAAAATTGTAAGCATAACACACAAATAAAAATTCAAATAATACAGAAAAGTATAAATCCTACCTTCCAGGGGTAACCACTGTTAAAGAGTCTATACTTTCTTCTGGACCTTTCCTATGCATAAACATGCACATATGAAAACAGAGCCCATCCCCACCCTCACCACCATTTAAAGTGGTATCACACTACACATATTTTTCTGCATTGCTTTCTTTTCCTTCTCTGATACCCAAGCTATCTACAGAGAGATATCTTAATCTTTATTTCTTTAATTTTTACTATTACAGTTAACATTCTTGTATATATCTGAATACCTGTGGAAGCAGATTCTGTAGCATATAGCACAGACTTTTAGGAGTGGAATTATCACAGCAAAAGGTATATGTACTATAAGTTTATGGATTCTACCAAGTCCTTTCATCAGAAGGCCAAACAAATTTACATTCCTACCAACATTGTTAAAAAATTTAAAAGAAAGGCTCTTCCTCACTTTCCAACACTGTCCCCAATGCTGGATACTGTCAATCCAAGAGATGAAATCAAAACATTTCATGGCTGTGACTGCATTTTACTGTCACTGAATTAACATCCTGTGCTAAGTTCATTCACTATTTGTATTTACTTTTGTGAAACCACCAGTTCATATCCTCTGTTCATTTTCTATTGATTACCTTTTACTTACTGATTTGTAGGAGTCCTTTGTATAATATAAACACTTGTTATACACACTACAAATATTTTCTTCAGTGTTTATCTTTCAATATTAATTTTACTATATAGACGTTAAAAACAGTTAATGTAGTCACACCTGCTAACTCTTTCCTTTATAACTTGTGAATTTTATCTCAACTTACTAAAGCCCTTCCTACCTCAAGATTATAAAAATGACTTCTTATTTTAGTTTTTTTTTTACATATAAATCTTTAGCCATTGGAAATTTATGTTTGTGTATGGTGTTGAAAAGAGATCCTGTAATAATACTTAAAGGTTTAGGTAGCCTTCAATCATCTGAAATACTCATATATGTATTTCATTTTTTGCTACCATGCAAAGAAACTACTTGTATTCAGAATTATGATCCTTTTGTCCCTTTTAATACCATTTGAAAAGTGGGCCTAAGGATATAATCTGCATTATTAATGTACATCAACCATATTAAATAGAAAACACTAGCACCTGGGATACGAAAAAGAGGACACGGTGCAGAGTCCTGCTGACTGCCAATAATGCCAGTTTTTTACTTGAACCAGTGGTTTTCTGGGTTAAAACAAAACAGAACAAAAAAACTCTTCCTCAAAGGAATTAACATAGAACTCCAATATGTAAAACATATAGATACCCAACTAGCCACTTAACCTCCCTTCCCTGCTCTGGGACAAGCCCCTGAGAGACTTGTTAATACCACAAATTCTATCTTTGATCTTTTAGGTGGGAATAAGAGATTCACATACTCCTTTAACATTGCTTCCGTCCACGAAACCCAGCTAAGACCGGTTATTCCAAGGCATAAGGTTCACCAAGGACCAAGTCAATAATTATGGTGGTTGAGTAATTATGGGAATCAGCACTTTCCACTTGAAGACTGTACTGACTTACCAGACATATTTATACAGTGCTATCAGGAACTTTCTAAGTATTATAAAACACTGACTTTATATTATAAAATCTACTACAGCAAAACTTTCTAAGCTTGTTCAGGTACTTAATTCCACATTGTGAGGCTTATGGAAGATTACCTTGGGGCTTTAGCCTTACAACAGAAAAAGATAAAAAACAATGGAAAATTTCCAAGAATCAGCCACTGGCAGACAGCACCTTTTGTTTTTGCCCCAGGTGGAAATGCCCCTCAAAAAAACCTAATATGAAGGGACACGTGGAGTCTGTTTACCATCAGGTAGAATTAAAGCAGCAGTGCACAAAGTGTAGTCTGCAGAAAAACTATTTTCATACTAACACCAAGATATTATTTGTCTTTTTTATTGTCATTATTTTACAAGTGTAAGTGTATTTTACAAGTGGGGTTTTCAGAGGCTACATGATGTAAGATACTGCAACATAATGAATGCAAAGCAGAGAATTCAGCTATCTTCTTTGTGTAGAGATTTTAAAAAGTGTAAGACAATGTCACTGTTCTCTAATTTTTTTTTTGTTTAGGAAAACAGAATTATTTTCATAAAAACATTATTTAACATGTAATGGTTTTACTATGTTTAAATAAATTTATAAATAAATATTTTTAAAACCCAGTTTTAATTTTTAAAATGGTATTGCCCACCTGTATAAAAGAAAGCTTGTTGAGAGTCTTCAGTAACTTCTGAGTGTGGAAAAGGGTTCTGAGATCAAAAAGCCTGAGAAGTATTAGACAACAGCAAAACCTTTCTGAGTATTTTGTATTGGGATTCTAAGTTTCTAGATGGACCACTGTTCAACCTTTATAAAATCATCTTTATGTGTTTACTCATCTGGAGTCTGCACACAATCATATGGAATCCAAATCCATGAAATACAGCTGTGTGCTCTAAAAACTGCTTAAAAATCTGCATCAGAATGTTAGTCTGTCCTTTTAGGTAACAAAGTTTTTTCTTACTTGGGGAAAGAGTGGTCTCTCATCTCTTTTCTTTTTTAGGCACTCTGCCATTAATCTCTTCATGGCTTTTGGACAGTTACTCCGTACCTTACTGAGATCTGGAGACAGATATCCTCGTCCCACCATAAAAATTATCTGGGGAGGAAAAAAAGGCAAATCATACAACCTTGTAGATAAATTAAAATATATCAACCTTGAAGCTGAAAATTACATAGACACTGAAAATTCAACCAGCTGTGCACTAATAACATGTATTTTTCTATATGTACATTATACTTCAGTAGAGTTAAAAAAAACACAGTCCTACTAATACTCTGATTCCTATATATCAAAGACCGTGGGGAACCAATACTTAATGTGCTGCAGGCTGAAATCTTCATGACCCTTGGACTAGTGCAAAGGTCTTCTAACTGCTCCCCATGCTTCTAGTCTCTCCTTATTCAATCTGCTTTCCCACTGATAGGGTAATCGTTCTGAAATACAGATCGGATCATGCTTCTTTTCTACTTAACTAAAAAAGCTAACCTTTTTAGTAGTTGCTTTGGCACCTGGATTTTCAATTCTTCTGTTGAAGAAACTCTAATGGGGCATTTAGTGACACAAATCTGAGAATCAGAGCCTCTTCCAGACAGAAGAAGGTGAAGCTACTGGGAACTCTTCTATTTAATAAAGTAAAAAGGCTTGTCCCCCTAGGTGCAAAGATTGACAGTTTTTCTAATATCTTACTTTTCTAAGTTCTGACTTGTGGTTCTTTTGAAAGTGGGCAGAGACAGATGTTAGGAGTCTTAGGATTCTGGGAGGAGAGACGGGTTTTGATCTTAGGGAATAGGTTCAAAAGGGACAGACTAGAGGCTAAGGTGGAGACAGCCAGTAAGAAATCCCCTGCTACAGGGAGGAACAGATGAATTTTACGAACAGTTCAGTTTGATATCCTACTCTATGTTATTTCCTGTTTGGTACTGTAATAACCCTTATTTAACTATAAGCTGATTTGCCCAAGCAACACCAAAGTGAAGGTGTAAAGTTTAACCTGTTTTCTGATCTCCTCTGCCATAACTGCCCTTCTTCCACTTTACAAAATACGTACCTTTCACCTATATAATCTTTACCTATAGCACACACTGCTCCAGGGTATAAAACTGCTGGTGGTACCAAAGGGACACCTCCAAATATTAGTGTCTAACTAGGTTCTAATGAATGGGTAACAAGTCCCTTTGTAAGAAGCTGATTTCCAAATCTCTGCTTTCAGCAAAATTAATTGAATTGTCACCTGATTATTAAAATAATTTTTAAGGACAAGTTATTGTGTAATCTTTGTTACATTACAGAAATGAATTCAAGTGACTGAGTGATATGGTGTACGGCAGAGAATTAATCTTGCCCAAAGAGAGGATTGGCCTTTGCCTTTGACTCCTGGGAGTTAATCCTTAAGCCCTCGGAATGCCCTGCCTGGTAAGAGTGTCTCTGTTTATCTAGGGGCCTTAGGTCATACCAGACAGTCTATGCTATCAATGTGATTTATAGAAGGAGCTTTGAGTTATGCGGTATCAGCCTGACCTCTGTAGGGGCTGAAAACGAAGGTCAGCAACAGAGGTAGTCAACTGTATCCATGTGATTGAGCCCCATTAATAACTCTGGACTCCAAGGCTCCCGTGAGTTTCCCTGGTTGGCAATATTCCTGCACGTTGTCACACATTGCTGCCAGGAGAATTTAGCACTGTGCACAATTCCACTGGAAGAGGACAAGTGGAACCTCCACATGTGAAACTCTCCCAGATTCTACGCTATGTGCCTCTTCTCTTGGCTGATTTTAATCTGTATTCTTTTGCTGTAAGCAAACTATAGCTGTATTAACAGTGTTCAGTGAGTTTCATAAGATAATGAATTACTGAACCTGAGAGTAGTCTTGGGGACTGCTGAACTCTGCATATGGTTATAATGAAACTCCGGACTCTTCCCTCTTCTTATTTATTTCAACAATATTTCTCAGCACTTACTTCTTAAAAATAAAACAAGAAAAAGGACTGATGCTAAGTCCCAGTTTATTCTAGCAAAAGTCGTATTTATCCACAAATATATGAATGAAGAGAAAACAAAAGATCCATGCTGTTCATTAAGATAAACACTTCCAATAAAATTTTACCTATGTTTCTATATATCAAAATTTTTGCCATTTTCATCATATATATTAACAATGATAGCATAATTCAGAATTTGAAAAATAACATTCAGTGCCTAAAGTCACCAGAAAAATTTTTTAATTCTAAATTTAAATATGTATTTTTTGTTTCAGACATAAAACGAGCTATCAATAAAAGGCTTAAAGCATAAAAATATGTTAATTATAAAAAATACATTACATAGATAAAAACTCTGTGGAGGAAACAGAATACAAACAGTTAAAAAAGAGAAAAAGAGCCACGTAAGACTTCCAAAACTTAATGAAGCGGTTTTGTATTTTTTAAACAAATGATGATGATAGGTACGAAATCAGTATGACTTTTAGATTTTATGGAGTACATTTAAAAGAAGAATATAATGGCTTTTTTGGAAATGTTAATATGATACACTGGAAATTATATTCCCTGCAATTATTTAAACTTAAAGGGAAGGTCTTTCCTGGATGTAATTCATGGACAGAAAATTCAAGTTGCACTTACACTATAAAATCAATAGCTCAGTCTGAAATTCTGGGACTGGTTATTTTCATTCTCAGTCCACACTCAGCCCTCCTGGCATCCCCACCCCTTCATTCACTCCTCTGTATTGCTGGAGCACATGTCTGTTCTTCTTTAACATCACCCTCTGCACTGCCTCAGCACAACTGTAAACTCTACTGAGAGCATAGCCTGTGTTTTATTCATCCTTGTATCCCTCTATATCCCATAGTGCATTAATAGTAGGTATTCAGCATTTTTTATTAAAATAATTTGCATGTTGGTAAGACACTGGTACTTATTATCATGTCCTGTCCCTTGAGATCTGGTGCTTAGAATCCAGCCACCAAGCTTCTGTAAAGAAGTCCTCATGGATAGACAGACCCATGTCAAGAAGCATTGAGGCCCCTGGCCCTTGGTCATGACTGAGCTCCCAGTTGACAGCTTACACCACCTTGTCAGGTATATGAAATGAGCCACTTTGGAAGTAGATCCTTTAATATCTAGTGAACCTACCACAGGCAATACCATGTGAAACAGAGATAAACACACTGAGAGAAGCCCAAACTACAGATTTACAATTTGTTTAAGGCACTACGTTTTAGGTGGTTATAGAGCAATAGTAACTGGAATTTATGTGAAATAATAAATGTTATCTGTTATTTTCTTTGACATAGCACTTTTGCTCCAAGAAAAGAAAGCCACGAGGGCAGAGAGTCAACATACTTAGCTTAAATGAGCACATTAACCCCAATTTAGTAGAGAAGCTGCGCTGAAAGAGGGAAGAACAGTGCGATTAGAGAGAAAAACACAGTGATAAAGGGAAAATGACAAAGCCATTTCTCAGACTTCTGGCAGTAGGTTAAGTGAAGTAAAAAGGCATGCTACTCTCCAAAGTAACACAGGGATGGCCATCCCTCAAGGAGTTAAGGAAATTGCTTTAAAGAATCTGTAAGGAATTCTTTAGTACAATCTCTTATTTTTAATAATAGAAAAGAAAAAAAAAACAAACCACCTAGAGAGGCACAGTGATCGGGTCACGTAGGTCATTCATGAGTTCAAGGTCTGCCATTACATCATTCTGCTTTACCAGAGTCCTGCTTTGAAATTAAGAGGCAAAACCTGCCACCTGAGACAACTGGGGTGAGCATGTAGGGAGACGGTTCTGTATTACACAGTAAAGAAGCAGTAGTCCCATCTCCCATGATAAAAAAAGAGTATGTCTAGATTTCAAACAGAAGTCCAATCTGAGAGCCATGGGAATCAAAGTATGAGAGAAAGAGAAAGAAAACTCAAATCAAGGGGATGGATGGAACAATACTTGGGATTATTTCATTGAGTATGATTAGAGCTACTGATTCAAAAAAGGGAGTTCCATGCAAAGAGCCACTTGAAGAAAGCAGACTAGAAGGTAATGAAGTAATGGGAAGAATATAACATTCTTTTATCTTATCTCCCTTTTCTTCATCAAATACTTGGTTTCAGATGGGCAAATTCCAGAAAGTTCTAACTACACTACCAGAAAGAATTAACTAGTAAAGGCCTTACCCTTCTGTTGGTCACTCACTTACTTCTCTCATGGAGAGTAAGCCCTTGCTTTTCATTTATTATACTCCCATGGAGGACAAAGCACCTAAAATGCCAAGAAGTGGATGAGTGCAGAACTTTGGGATGCTTTTTCCCTATTCTGGAGATAATATTACTTATTCCAGTAACATAATTTCATTATTAAAATAAGCTTATTCACTAACAAATGGATTTCATCCAGATCTTAGGTTCATAAATTTTTATTATTTGAAGGCTCCATGATAAATCAACTAAAACTAAACTAAAATTACCTCATAATTACCCTAGAAAAAAAACACGCATTAGGAAAGTGAACACAGCACAGGGTATTATGCTATACGGTTGAGTTAATAAGACTATAAAAGACAGAGTACGTGAAGCTGGCCAATTAGAAACAGTCTTGCTCTCAAATGGCCATCATCAAATCAGTCAACTCAGTGATCTAGAATATGTCATAAGTACAGTAAGCACAATGTTCCAATCATGTTCTTTAGCTACCATTTTGGCTCATCTGGAATCTAAGTTTCACAGAGGCTTAAAACAGATCATCAGAAGCCAGGTCTTAAGATTTGTTCTGAACACTTAAAGCTAAGATTCAACATTCTAACGCTGTGAGTATTAGAAAGACCAAACAGCAACTAAAAAAAATTAAGTTTTGTGTTGACTTAGGTAGAAATGTTGTCTTTTAAAAAGTTCTTGAAATAGAGAATCAAGACCACTGTTGGGGGCCACATAGTGATTCAGTAAGCATACACAAAGTACATGACAACTTAGATTACTTCTCTGAAATCACATAACAGTTGTAAGTTCTTAGAAAGCTACTCAGAGCTATCAATAAAAAGACTGAAAGTTGACCTGTTGACCAACACACTATTAAATGAAGTAATACATTTATATATAAAAATTATCATGTCATTGGGTTGGGAGGTTATGATGAAACACATAAAACAGTCACACTTTGAAAAGATTCTTTACAATGGTGATTCTCAACTGTGTTATGTTTAGAAACACCTGGCAAGCTTATTAAAAATGCACGTGCTTGGACCCCACCCCACTGAATCAGAATCTGCTCTAGCATCACCCTTTTTTAACAAGTAATCCAGGTGATTCACATGCAAATCACAGTATGATGTATAAACACTATTTAACTGCAGTTTATATGGTCAACTGTTGTTTTCCAATATACTAACAGTGTAACTGCTACAATCAATCTCTCTCCACACATACACACACACACACTTTTCAAATGTTAAGGTATACAGGTAATTTCAGTAAAGACAACTTATTTTTCTTGGCCAGTGTTAAAAAGCCTAAGTGAATTTAATGTGGCTGGGGTAGAGAAGATGCAGAGCTGCATGAGGCTGTGTCAATACTATGGAAGATAAGGAACAGAGAATAGGAACTCAGGAAGAGAGAAGTAAAAAATTCCCTCCTACTAGAATGCTCATCATAAAAAAATGAAAGCAAAGTAAGTCCCTCCTAGTTCAAAGATTTTAAAAATATGGAGAAAACTTCATAATTTTAAAAGGATTTGCTATAAAGAAGTTCACAGCTGACTACTTGCTCGGGTAGGACAATCTATGAGAGAGTAAAAGGAACAAGGACAGATGCTAGAGTAGCAGAACTCATTCTTCTAACTGCCATGGTCAAGAGACATGAGGCATATCCACTGTCATATCTCTAGTTTCTACTCAGAAGATCAGGAGCGTCACTCCATTACAACACTTAAGCATGATGTTTCAAGGAAAGGCCTCATGTGCTGCTGTTACTGCCAAAGGACAAAAAAGTTTTCTAAAGCTGGTTAACAAAAATAAGAGATCTGTCCTTCAAGCTTACCCAAGACCTAATGCTTCTCTTCTACAATGAACTGGAGCCTTTCTACAAATAGTAAAATGAACCCCAAGAGATGGTAAATATTTACCTGGTCTCTGTTGTTGATGTTTGAATAAGGTAACTGTCCAGTCATCAATTCATACAGAACAATCCCAAATGCATACACATCTGATTGAAAGCTATATGGGTTTTTATCTTGCATTCTGATTACTTCTGGTGCCTGGTAGAACATAAAGAGAAAAATATTCTTGTTTATTCTTCAAATGAGTAAAGATTGAAAACCAAACTACTGTAGTTCCCAGAATAATGCTTTATATCATTAAATAACTTATCTAATATGTACTCAATTCACTAATGGACAAAGGAATACAACTAATTATGAAAGATAAAGAAAAAAATGATCTGTAAACTGAGAAAGGCACTATTAGCTGAGATTCCATATACATTATTAAGATTTTATAATGAAAAAAAGATTTTATAATTTTACCAGCTATTCTCTTTCTGCATAAAACACCATCGTTGACATTTAAATTCTTCCCAGGACTTACCCTATCAAGAATGAGTTTCCACTTTCTATTCCTGACTCAGGAAAGTAATACTAGACCTCTGGTTATGAGATGTTTGGAAGCAGCACAACCACTATGTGTGCGTTAGATTCAAGTTTTCCCATTAGTATAAATGATTCTCCTTATGTGAGGGCACCCTAGACAATAATGGTAAAATTTCAAGACTGATAAACCACGATAAACTCAAACCCCTCTCCTGCCGCCAAAAGCAGTATAAACATGCCATGGATGCTTTATTAACAAAACCAACAGACAGTAGGTAGATTTAGTAGAAGATGGTATAAAGAATCCTGTGGCTGCTGCTGCTTTGGCAAAGATACAGATCTAATCATATTTGCCACATTTTTACACATTTCAGTCACTGTATTCTACTATTAGATTTCTTATTGGCTGTTTACATGATACAATAGATGACTGTTTAAATATCAGCTTACAGGAGGTTCTTTCACCTTGAATCTTCTGTACTGTTTCATTTGGAAGAAATCAGAAAAACTGCAAGGGTATTAATAAAAAGCTTGTAAAAACACTACTTTGATACCAGAACCAGGACTAACTGCAAAAAAGGATGAAAGACCTGGGACAAGATTCCTGGTTATTGTTCAGGGTAAGGCAGGACAGACTATCTCACAAGGCAGGCAATAATGGTATTCAGCCTCACCTGCAAAAGAATCACCTGTGCAGCCTTTAATCTCTCAGTATCCAGACTACATTCTAGCCCAATAATATGACATTAGAGATGGGATGGGATCCAAGCATTGCTAGTTTTTATAGCTCCCCAGATGACATTAATGTCCAACCAAGATTGAGAAGCACTGATGGAAGGTGTGTGGGAGATCCAGAGGAGAGTGAAAGGATAGCAGTGGGGGGAAGGAGAAGGTTGTTACCTATTTGCTTTTGTCATACATTTTACTGATAATTGCTTTTAGCAATACAATACAAAATAAACCACATACAACTGTGATGTAATGAACAAGCCAAAATACTGAGAGGCTGGTTATGATACACACATAATTCTCAAAGCCAGAATACAGTTTCTGTGATGGACAGTTGAACTGTCTTTTTAAAATTTAATTTTACCTCGTTGTTAATAGATGGTTTGATGAAAAGTTGTATGTGATCTATTTACAAGAAATGCATGATTGATTCTCAAGTTAGTAATTTGTAAAAATTTTTCATAAAAGTTTTTTCTTCCCTAGTATGTAAATGAAAGAAGATTGAGAATACTGTTGTAAATAATTTGGAGAATTACATAACCTTTGTTTTGACCAAACTGTTTTCTCCTAGTCTATGGATGTTCCATATTTGTTTCTGATTTTCTCACACTAATGTCAGATGAGATTCAGATTACATTAATTAGCTTTGTATTTATAATTATTCATTAAAACAGTTAAACATATAAAAAAGAAAAAATCTAGTTAGCTCTAATTACTAAATCTTAGAAATAGAAAAGACATTAGAAATCCACTAGTCCAACCTAATGTTAAAGATGGAAAGACTTGAAGGAGGTTAAGAAATGTGCAGATTAAGTAAGAGTCAGAGTATCAGAGTGCAGACCTCCTGACTCCAAGTCCAGTGCCCGTCCCTCCACCTTGCCACTCACTGTAATGACAGTTACTATCACAAGAGATCATAGCCAAATTTTACCCTAGGCTTATCTTGACTAATTCAGAATCCTATCCTGGAATTCCCTTCTTGAGACTGCTACATAAGTTCAGGGAGTTTAGGCAAATGTGGCTTTAAAACACCTTGCAACTTTTCTATTTCCATGAGGGTGTCCCAAAGTCATAGTGTAGATTCAGTTATTTAAAGTCTAAAACTGCACTAATAATTTTGAGATATCCTGTATTCAGCTTAGAGCAGTGGCTCTCAAACTTTTTGGTCTCAGGAATCTTTCAGTCTTAAAAATTATGGAAGATCCCCCAAGGAGCATCCATTTATGTGGATTATATCTATGGATATTTATTATACTAAAACTTGACTCAAAAACTGTTAAAATATTTATTAATTTGTTTAAATAATAGAACAACCATCAGATGTTAATACAGATATCCCATACTTAATGAGAAGTAACTATATTTTCAAAAACAAAGTTTAATGAGAACAGTACTGCAATTCTTTTTGACTGTTTTAACAGCAGCCAGTTAATCACATTTGTTTATGCATTCACTATGTCGTAATGTGTTGAAGAATATGAAGAAAAATCTAGTCTCACACAGGATGACCTTGGGGACCTCTGAAAGGGTCTTAAGGACCCTTCTGAGAACTGCTGGCTTAAGAAAATGATTCCTATGACTGCCCTTGTCATAGCCTATTGAAAGTAACTGCACAGTTCTAGTTCCCTTCTTTTATAATTTCTTTCTTCTTTTCCACAAAGCAGAGATAGGAATAAAGAAAGAGAAAGAAAGAGCTATCTATACAGGGCAGCACAAGGCTGACAGTGTTAAAAATCTACCTCTCATTTTTCTTTTTCTTTCCTCTTCCAGCTGCCCATAATTATACGGTTCTTTCTAGTCTAAAGGAAGTAACTTTCCAATTTAGGCTTAAATAAGACTGTGAAACAGCCTCTCTCTTAAAAGGAGCAGTTCTTTTAGTAAAACCTTAATAATGGCTGCAGATCACACCTGCTTAAACTGCATATTTGTTTTTTATTGAAAGAGGGTACACAGAACATTTTGAACACAAATTATTTTAGAGGCAATTCTGAATAAAATTTAAAGTGTTTGTAAAATACACACTTTTTGTTTGAAATACACTGAAACCGGTTTCATAGTATTCGTCTTAAAGATAAAAAGTTAAAACCTATTTACATATAAAGATCAACATTGATTTTTGTAAATACTGAGAACTATGAATATACTATAGTTGAAATCTTCAGTGACTTTATGTCAGAGTCCAAAAATTTACTTAATGGAGAAACAGCCTCAATTCTTACCATCCACAAAATGGATCCAGACAATTGTTCAAACTGATGGGACCCACTCCATCGAGATTTCACTGTGGCTAGACCAAAGTCACCTATTTTTACTGTGAGGTCTTCATGAAGAAAAATATCTGAGGTGTAGTAAGTAAAGGAAAGCAACAGTTCTCATTTTCCTATCAAAGCAATCATGATGAAAATTTTAGGTAAGAGATCTAATTTCTACAATTCTGTATTATGATATTCTTCTTAAAAGTATAGTATTTCACATTTCCTCTGACAGTTAATAAATATGTTTTCAAAATAATTAGTTCTATCTGGACCATATTACCTGCCTTTAAGATTTCTGATGCCGGAAATGTGATAGAATGAGGTGAGATGCTTTCCAAGTTTACAGGAGACACTGATATTTTCCCATTAGATTTTAATAATGTACGTTCAAATAGCCTCCTGGCACTGCTGGGAAAGCTGTGAAGGCTCTTCACTGGAATGAAGGCAACTGGCAGATGGAATCTTAATCTGGGTTTATGGAAGAAGAAAAAAAACTTCATTTTCCTCACCTCATTGTTATGTAACTTAGAGCCTTCAGTCACCTCTGAGCAAGGTCAGAGCACTGAAATAAACTAGTAGTTACAAAACTATGCATTTTATAATATTTACAGAACATAAGCAATCAAAGAGTCCTACTATCATAAAGATTTGACAGATTTTTTTGTAATGCTCAATCATTCAAAAACCAAAAGCAGGTTATAGTACCCTGTACTACTATACTTTGGGGCAAACCCATTTATTAATTCCCTTTACAGTGTATTATTGAACATAGCTTGAAAACTGTTTTTACATAATGTGAAGACAAAATGCAGAAGAAAAGGTCAGGATGGTTTCAAACTTCGCAGACAAATTCAGAAGGATACTATTACTCTTGAGGTCTCTGTGGATGATTGACTTGGCGTGTAAGTAACTGAAAAACAAAACATCATTTTAACCTGAGTAGGGCTAAAGACTCTGGCCTCAGTATCTATAGAACATACTTAGAGTTGTAATAAAGACTTATGATACAACTGCAAACTGTACATAAGAAATAATAAAACAGACTGCAAGTGAATTTAGGATTTTAGGAATATATTACTAATACGGCACAGCCAAAAGTTTTTCTATTAAGACTTTGCTTTATCTTTCACTGTTTACCAGTACAAACCTTTCACTCCAGTGAAGCCTATTTATCCATGCCCCTTAAATATATCTTGCTATTTAATCCCACCTCTGTGATCAGTGCTCCCCCTCCCACACCAAATTAGCTTTCATTCCATTCTCCACCTAATCATACTTATTCTTTTAGATTGAATACATACATTCTAACTCCTGAGTAAAGCTTTCCCATGACTAACTCAATTGAAAGTGATCTTTCCCTGTTCAGTTGTATAGTAATTATTTTCACAACTTAGATTCAAGTTATTTTTTTCACTTGCCTATGTTCACTTTCTATTTAGAATGTAAACTCCACTTGAATATATGAAAGTTTGATAAATTAAAACCATTTAAAAAAGTACTATATATTCTTAACATACCTTGTTAAAAACTAGCAAAGAGCTAACTTTCTATGCAATGGCCACAGTGAATCTATTTTAAAGTGGTAAGTTTAAATCATGTTACCCATAAAAACTACCTTGGGTGAGTTTATTGAGGGAAAGGGCTGTGTCCAGTTTATTTCTGCTTGTTCCCAGTGCCTGGTACAGTGCCTGGCATGTGATAAGTATTCAACACATATCTGTCGAATCAACCACAATAAGATGCATATAATGTTCTAGTCAAGGTTATTTTTCTTCATTTAATACTAGAGAGAACATAGAAGAGACTTCTGAAATTTGACAATGCTCACGAGGAAATAAATTCTGCCTTAAAATGAGACCTTAAAATCCAAATAGTATAATCAAAATTACATCATAAACACTGTTAAAAATGAAAGATTTGCAAGTAAGTAAGTTTAATATGTATGCTTTCTCATCTTCAATTATATTTTGTCAGAGATCAAATTCTGAAATACTTTTTGTCAAAATTTTCATTTAAAATTACTGTTTATACAAAGTAACTCCTCCTCCAATCATTCTCTTAAATGATACTGTTTATTTCCTTCATAGCATTTATTACTATCTGAAATTATCTGGTTGCCATGACTTGTTTAGGCCCAGGGTTGATTTACTACATCACATCATCACTCCTCCATTGAAAGAAAACACGATGTCAGTTATTGGCCTTATTTGCTTAAAAAGTTCTGTCATGATATAGAAAGGTAAAAACAGATGGAGAAAAACCAGTCTCAATCAAAAGCCTTTCCAAGATGGGGAGACCTTATCCTTGTTAGGAAGAAAAGGGGATAAGTGGTGATGGTGTTGGAGGTGGAACTCGGTGCTTCAGTCAAGAGATCTGGTATTTAGTGCATAGAAAAGCTGTTGGTCTTAAAAAGGAGTTGTCTCCTTTGAATTAAAAACGACAATAACAACAACAAATGAGTAGAACATATGAAAATATAGAGGCATGAGGAAGTTACAAGATAGGAAGATAAAGGTAGTCTTGATGGATGGTGTCAACCTTTTCAATAAATTTGTACAAAGAAATGTAGCAAGAATAAGGTAGACAGAAATGTAACTAGAGGGTCGAGGAGAGAAAATTTCTGACCAGGAAAGTAGTAGATAATTAACAAGATATAAATATAATTGCTGAGCTAGTGATAAAACCGTAGTAGAAGATGGACAGCATAAACCTATTATAAGCAAAGTTGCGTATCACTGCAACTTGAAATAACACCACCTTATCCTTGTGTAATCCTTTATTTTTTTACAAACTGCTTTCCTAACTTATACCTCATTTAATAACTCTCTTTCTGTAATACCTCTATAACAAAAGCAGCAAAAGAGCAGAAATCCAGGTCTATATAATGGAAGGTTGGAAAAAAATGGGCTTAAATTCCCCAGCTGGAAAAAACGGGATGAGTATCATACACCAATCCCTACATCATATAATATTCCAGAGTAATTACTACCTTAAATAATTCTACATAGGTTGCCACTAAACCATCACTTCTTAAGCACCAACCAGTTACAGTGGAAGATGCCAAAAACCACATAACTGGTTGAGGGTAGGGAAGGGAATAAGAATAAATTTATTTTGCTCAGATGATACAAAAGTCTATCCATTATGTAGGATGACTAAATTGGACCTCCTTCTTACCTTTCTAAGATGTTAAGGAGAACCTTGAAAGTTTATAAATGTAGTAGGGAAGAAAAAAAAACACGTTATAAACTAAATGATTATCATATTCTCTTGATAGGTATGTTTAGGAGTCTCCTCCCTTGAAGAAAAAGTCTCCACCTACAGTATCATTTAACCTTAAAGCTGGGAAACTATCTAGTAAAATTTGTTTTCTAAGCTACAGATTCTTCTAAAGTCTTAGCCAACATTCAGCTTTTGAACATTCTTTTTTAGATCGTAATATGACGCCCTCAAAATAAATACAGTGCTCTAGATTTGATCTGATCAACACAAACTAGAGATTTTCATCTTCACCCTCCCCTTGAATATAAGAACTCAAAACCATAAAACTCCTAGAAGAAAACCTAGGTGGTAAAAGCTTCTTGATGTTGGTCTTGATGATCACTTTGGGTCTGACACCAAAAGCAAGGGCAACAAAAGCAAAAACAAGCAGGACTATATCAAACTAAAAAGCTTCTGCACAGCAAAGGAAACCACCAACAAAATGAAAAGGCAACCTACCAACTGAAGAAAGTATCTGCAAATCATATATCTGATAGGAGGTTATCCAAGAAATATAAAGAACTTATACAACTCCATAGCAAAAAACCCAAACAATCTAATTTAAAAAAAAGACATTTTCCCAAAGAAGACATACAGATGGTCAACAGGTACATGAAAAAGTGTTCAACATCCCTAATCACCAGGGAAATGTAAATCAAAACCACAATGAGATATCACTTCACACCTGTTAGAATGGTTATTATTATAAAAAAAAACGGGAAGTATCAAGTGTTGGTGAGGGATAGAGAAAAGGTAACCCTAGTACTGTTGGTAGGAACATAAAGTGGTACAGCTGCTACGGAAAAAAGAGTGGAAGTTCTCCCTCAAATTAAAAACAAAATTACCACATGATCTAGCAAAGCCACTTCTGGGTATATATCCAAAAAAATTTAAATCAGGATCTCAAAGAGGTATCTGTACCCTCATGTTCACTGCAGTATTATTCACAATAGTCAAGAAATGGAAACAACCTAAGTGTCCATGAATGGACAAAGAAAAAGACACACACAGGAATATTATTCAGGCATAAAAAAGAAGGCAATCCTGCCATTTACAACAACACAGATAGATCCTGAGGGCATTATGCTAAATGAAGTAAGTTAGAGAAAGACAAATACTGTAAAATATCAGTTACATGTGAAATCTCAAAAACAAAAACAAAACCCAAACTCATCTTCATATTCCTTACGGTGGGATAAATATTTATTTAATCAGTCATTGTTGTGACTATTATTGCAGCCATAGTCATCCTGATTGTTATTAAAACTATGTTGAACTTTAAACTTAGAGAGTTGTTGTTTTGCATTGCTCCTATAAAACATTTCACCCATCCTACATTTGTATACTTCTCTTTTTTGGACTTAGATAAGATTTCATATTTTGTAGACACGGCCCAAAATTTCAGCTTTTTAAAATTTCAGTTTTCACTAAAAAACAAATTTTAAAAGATTAGCATGCTAATTTTGTTCTCATCTAAGTTATCTGTGAATATGCTAGTCATATTCAAGAGAGGAATGAGGACAAAAATCTCCTTCTAGCTTAAGAGCTTCAGGTATGATCATCAAAGTTATGAATCTCGTTAAATTCTCCATGTACATTACATATCTCCACCTTACCCTCAAGAATGAGAGGTATTGTTCAAATACCTTGCTGAAATTCAAATACTATGCCTACACCATTTGCCCAATTTACTAGTCTATTTACAAGTGTCTCTCACTTAGAAGTTTGCTGCTATTTTCTCATATTTTTAACTATTTCTAAAACCAAACAACTGGCCTATGCAGACATTAGCATTTCAGTCCTCTTTCACCAAATACTACACAACTTCAAAAAAATTCATCAGACTTCATGCAGCAAGCTGAATCTCTTCTCAGACACCAATAGAGAATTTAGCAGTTGACTGGAATGGCGTGATAATGGTGACAAGGTGCTATTTTATCCATTTCAAATACAGTTTCAAACTACAGTCTTCTTTCTACTTTGAGGCCCTACAGTCCCCCTCATAATCACAACGTGGAAAGTGAGGAAGATGGAAGGGAATGACATTCTGCTACTCCTGTGTAGTTAGTAATCATTTATCACTTTAGGATAATTAAAATCCCTAGTAAGCGGAGTTAAAGTATTTTTCAGTTGTGCTCCATAGTGGCCTAAATTCTATTTTTACTTAGACTTTTCAGTTTTTCTTTGTTTTTAAAAAAGAAAATTTATTGAGAACTATAACTTTTATACAACACAAAATGCACCCAATCTTTATGTATAGTTTAAAGATTTTTTTGGACAAATATATATGTGCACACACACGCTTGTCTAAAGACGAGCCACAATCAAGATGAAGAATATCCACCACCCCCAAAAGTTTCTTCGTACATTTCTGCAATTAATAACACCCTCCTCTAGCTCAGACAACCATTGATAATGCTATCACTGGTCATTAGTTTTGCCTTTTCCAGAATTTCATATAAACAAAATTATATGGCTTCTTTTGCTCAGCATATTGATTCTCAGATTCACACACTGCCTGCATGCAGTATTAGATTGTATGGATATACCACAACTTATCCAGTTACCTGCTACACATTTGGGTCGTTCTGGGGTTTTTTTTTTTTTCTGGGCAATTATAAACAAGACACTATAAACATTCACATACAA